AAGTCAAAAATATAGGCTTGGGATTATTCTTGCAGTTTGGTTTTCTTACAGTCAGGTTCAGTGTTAGTGTTTGAGTGGGGGTACATGGTTATTATGTTCAAAAGTTGAAGTTACGAATTTGGTTAATGTAAAATAATTGTTGAGCAATTTATTGTTGCCGAAACTCGAGTCGTAAACAAAATGAAATACCTGTACTGATTATTGTTATCATGTCAAAAAGTCCACGTATAATGATTGTAAATGATTACTGTAAAAGATTACAGTCTATACTGTCGTATCTTTTTAAGAAAAATAAAATAAACGAGGATTGGAAATTAGAAAGAAAATTGTTTAATATACCAGTACACTTGTCAGCAACCATCCACTCCGAATTCCCCATCAACTCGACCTGGAGAGACCGAACCAGATCAAAAGTTCTCTGTCTGACACATCCCAGTCAATTGATTTCATTAAAACGATCTCGGTTGAGTCTGTAACCATTGGCTTCCCCATCTTGTAACTACCCCCAAAGAATAACAAGATTTGTGGTTATCATATAGGTTCCGGATCTCAGGTATCGTGAGTGATAGGGTAGCAATATGACAGAGTAGCCGTTTTGTTGACTCATAGGATTATTAGGGATCAAGGATTTCAAACTTGACCCACAAACTCCTGCGTTTTTTTTAAGTTCTTTTTAAAACTCAGACTAGAGGTGCCGTCCGAATTAGAAATGACAGTGAGGTATATACATTTGAATGACAGGAAAAAAATCACAAGTATGTAAATTCATCTGGTACAATAAAAATCATTCCAACAGTTTCGATGTGTTCATTATTCCAACCGATTATTCGGTATATTCATTTACATGACTACAGGAGCGTCTAGCTGCGTACCCGAATCCGAATGATTTAAGAATATGGTTGGCCCTGAGAGATTAACGCATTTACATACCCCCCCCCCCCCCCTCGGTTGTTGAAAACGGCTCGACTCCCTGGCACTGTCGCTAGATGCCATTCTGACAACTGAATTTTCGCTAAGAGGACGTATCGCTAGAGGAAGTTTGCACGAAGACTTCTGAGACGGATTAATTCACAAGGATCATGATTATGATATGAAGTGATTTCGGAACTTGACTGTGAAGTTATTTGTATTGCTTACACCTACACATTGGAATAAAATATCAGGTAATTTCAAAGAAATAATTTAAATTTTGTTTTCATTTTTCTTGGGACACAAAGGTATGCACGATTGGGTCTTAAAAGGGCTCACGGGTCAAAATATGTGCTGCCTTAATCCGCTAGTGCGATTGTTTGGTTTTGCTGCATCCTATTTAATCATGCCATTAGACTATCGGTAATTCAGATATACCTCAATTTGTCGGGGTATGAAAATGATACAGATACAACCATGGACCTGAAAGGCTGAAACATCTATAAATTTAGAAGAGTGAGTCATCTGCTTTCCTCCTTCTTCCTCTTCACATCATACAAGCTTCTAGCTTGGCTTCATTACCTCTCTGCCAAAAATACTTTAACATTTCCTCATCCCTTCCAGTCCTTACTCCTTTCGTTCCCCTCTTCACTCCTCTCCACATGATACCTTAATGTCCCCTCTCTCACCATCCCCCTTCCCTACACCATTCTACCCCCCCCCCCCTTTCTCCTCGCCTCATTACACCTCACCACGTACAAAAAATTAACCTCTCCCTCCTTTTTCTTCCCTGCCCTATCCTCGCCACTCTCCTAGTGCTATTACTCTTCTTCACATAACACATAAACTTCCTCTCTATTAACTAATCAAGATCCTCCCTTGCCCAGCTCTTACACTTTCCTCTCCGGCTACCCTCTCCCACATAACATTTACACTATCTCCACCCCCCCCCCCCTCCCTCCCTGCCCCCTCGGCGCCACATCATCGTCCCTCTCCCAGCCCTATTACTCTTCTTTACATAAAACATCCTCTCTATTAATCACTTCCCTTCCTTCTACATGTCTCTCTCTCTCTCTCTCTCTTCTACATGCTCCTCACATCATTACCCCCTCTCCAAAAATCACATTTACACTCTCCAACCTCCATTCTCACATCTGCCTCATCCTCAACTCTACCGCATCTCTTCTTAACAGTTTTATACAACCTCCCTCTCCGCCCCTCATCCTATTTTCCAAGCTCCCCTCATCATGCTACTATCCAATCCCCATAACACTTGTCATTCATCGAATATTCCCAATGTTTGATTTATAATGTTTTGTTTTTCTTCGTAGTCTATTACTAAAGTAGGAATTCTAGTTGAGTACCCATTGCGCGAATGTGATTCAGTATTCTAAAATAGATGATATAGGAGCGCATTTTCTTTTTAATTTGAAATCATCTAATTCAAATTATTGGATACGTGAATACTGTAAGATGTCGTTCGATTGTATCCTCCCTTTTTTGGATTAATTTACGAATTTAATTTACATACACTTGTCATTCTAAATGAAGATCATATCCAATTTTCGTCACTTTGTCGTGACTGTATATAAGAAATTGAGAATGTTCAAACTAGCCTGGCAATACTGAGCTGAGATTTTGATGCAATTGCTATTATATTGTCAGAGCTGATCAGAGTCTCTCTCCGACTAATGATGAGTAAACAATATAGCTTCATTCGATGACGTTAACTCACTTGTTTGTGACATTTTGAGGCGTTATTAGGGGATGTGTTAACAGATTGAAGTATGGAAACGCGGTTTCCATTTTCTTGGCTCTGTTAGCTTATGATTTAGGATTTATCCAAAGGTTGGATCATGAGATAATCCATGAGATTGCGAGGAATCGAGGTCAAATACCATGGCAACGGAAATACTGTATTATATTTAAAACATGAAATTTACTCAATGGAATGTCATGGTTAGAAAACATGTATAGCCCATGTATATCATTGGTGTATATAATGTTTTTCAGCATGTTATCCCAACGTGTAACATTCGAGAGTTTGTGAACAATATTTTTTTTAATTCAGATTAATCTTCGACCTAAATAGTCAATATCTATCCCTTAAATTTGTACACTAAAAATATACAGATTGGTCTTATTCTTCTAATTCGAATATTCTTTTGGTAACCTTTTAAATTTTGGCCATTTTTGAAAGTGGTAGTGAAACCATTCTTAATTATGCTGTTTATGACGTTTCAAAATGAAAGCCCCCCCCCCCCCCACCCACACCGAGGTTAGCCAAACTTGAGTTTCAAGATAACTTTAAGCTGTTAAGAGAACATATACAAAATCAATTTATGAACCAGTATAAACATTCGGATATTAGAGAAAGAAATTGAAATCATAGTTCAATCAATTTCATCATGTCATTTAAAGTCATAACGCGATTCAGAACGGTTGTGGTCGATGATACTGATAGCGATAGGTTGACATGATAACGATGATACAGGGAAGGGCTCATTACGCATCATTAAGTTATCATAAAGTACCATATCCCCTTTAAAACCACCCTAACTTCCGAGTTATCTGACCTCGTTAGACTAAAGTCTTTGGAAGAGGAGCAGCCCATGGTTTTGGTTCGGTTGGGGGATTCGTGATAATCAAAAATTTATAATAAAACTGATACATGTCGTATCAAAACCTCTGACAATAATGTAAAATGTTAATTTTTTTTCTTTTAATTTCAAGTTGAAATTCAATAATATTTTTTTCAAAAATGAACCATTACCCTGTCCTTACCAATTACCTACAGCTGACCATACGACTGCGATAATGTAATAGGGTATTTTGTACGTGTATGTAAATTACGTGTAAGTAAATGATTTTCATCATTGTACGAGGCAGGGGAGGGGGTGGCGTTGCAGTTACCCCCCCCCCCCCCCCCAGAATTGGGATATCATCTATATTTGGGCAACGTCCCCCTCATAATTCAGATAGGTTTCTTTGACATATATCTCTTGACCAGTATCATTATCTTCATTTAAACAAATTGTATTTTAAAGTATTTTTAGTGAAAAACCACACGTAGTATTCATGAAGACTAAAAAGCAACACAAATTAATGTATAATTTTAACAAACTATTTCTTCATAGCAGCTGAGCAAAAAATTGTAGAGTACTAAAATTTGATCTAAGTTATTGGTTTCTTAGGACGTTGGATTTGAAACAATTATCTTAGCTTATATATTTCACATGAGTTACATATCTCTTAAAATATTATCAGACCGTTTAAACTCTTCCAATGAAAGATGTAGCTTATTTTATCATTCGTTGCAATTATGGACTTACACTTAATATTTTCGAGCTAATAATGAACAAGAAGGTATGTATTAGCTACGTCTAATCTAAAGTGGTAGAGTAACACCCGCTATCATCTTAGTCGCTTCATGTTAATCCATCCCTATCTATCATTAACTCGTGAAGATGATTTCTCCTTCATCCATGGATTATCTGGGTAACATGACCCATACCTGCATGCAAGGAGTACAAGGTACGGGAAAATGATTAATTAATTAGAGCGTGTAAAGTATTAACACTATACCGTGCCTTGATGGGGTTCATCATACCACAAGCTACTTGCTACCCGTGACATGAGCATATCAAGGTGTTCATAGTAGACCGTTATATTGGGAAGTAAAATACGAGCTCATTAACAACTGGACACAGACTGAAGGTGGAATTCTTGGCCGCCATTTTCTTTCTCCTTGATTGAAGAGGTACCATGTCCAGTGCATGTTAATGGGACAACCGATGTCTGAGCAAGGTATCTCTTTGGTCTGAGCTACATCAATGAAGTTACGCCGGTGGCACACGTTGTATCGTTTTGCTGACGTAGGACTGCGTCGACGACTGACACCGTCTTTGTCTTACTGGCGCATGGGCTAGTTGACTTCACGGGCTTGATTAGAGCGTGTAATGACGCAACTGAAATGACGCAATGGAAATGACACCTCGTGTGCAACGGGCATCAGATGTAAATGAACAATTTTTATTTCGCTGATGATTTTAATAATAAATGTTTCATATTTTCACTTGGTTTCATGACAGGAGCTTTAAAATGGATCCCTGAGACACCTTAAAACGGAGGGAGTCGTAGAAATAAAAAAAGACATCATGGAGTTCCATCTACTCGCATGTTGGTGTTTTATGCTCGTCATGTCGAGATTGATGACGTCACATGCGCTATCGCATGGGCCCGGACGCTGCTGGAATACCATCAGGTGAATACAGATTTTGTTTTACTTTCCAATTTTACTATCATGAAAAATGGAAGTGTACAGAACTACAATAACTAAGGTCGGTTGTGCATATCAGATCAGGGTGCTGTTTAAACGAATTAGTATAAACACATGACATATTTTTGTCTGAAATATAACATGGAAGGGATAATTAAGGCCGCGTAGATACAATTGTTTTGCTCTATGAAATGGATATCTTACCCTGTTGAAGGCTAGATATAGTTTCCCGAAAGAGAAATAAAAATAGAATCACAATTGGAAGTCGGTTTACAGCTGTTGTACAAAGATAAGGAGAGAGGTAAGTATTTGGGTAGGGTAACGGAATTCCAGAAGTTTCATTTGATAAATACGTATAGGTTTCCGTATAACGTTCTAACTATGCTTGAGGTAAAATACAATACCTCAAATATCTATACAGTAAATAATATGTTGAACCGTTAAACTTGTATGATCCATTATATTATAATCCATTATTATTTTAATCCATTATTATTTTAATCACATAAAGCTATATGATGTAAATTTCACTCATCCATTGAAAATGGTCTAATGCAATCATGGCTCAATGGTAACTACTGCATCTAAACCGTCTGGTATATTTTGCCTATTACTTAGTACATCATGACCGTTCAATTTATAGTATGTTTCGGTCGCATGATTAGGCCGAGTGCCATGAATGATGAAAACAATTTTATAGATTATATATCATAAAAATCATTAAAATGATACTTATGCATGGACAAGTAATTACACGTTTTAGTAATAAATAATATGGATGATCCAACTCGATGTCTGTATATTGGTTAAATTAGCTTCCCAATCATACCAACGTATAAATATACGACATGCACTACTAGCTTTCAGTTGCCCCCTAATTACCGGTAAAGTATAATGTACGAATGGAAGCAGAAAGATTAAAGCAGGTTAATCAGTTTAATAAGGTTTCTGGATGCGCATGCTTTGAAGAATGTTTCGTTTTCCTTGATGCCTGGCTTATAGGTCATGGTCATCTCCACGCTCAAAGACAGCTACACGTTAGCAAGGCCGTCCAATGATATGTTAGCTTCATGCAACCTGTATATAGAGACTGCTCAAGGGACTCAGGGAGACAACGGAGTCTTCTCCATTTTTTCAAGTTTGAAATGATTTGTCAACCATGTGCGGTTTTTTAAAGTATAATGATTTGATTGATTTATGTATTTTGACTTTTGTTAATGATATATATTATGTATTTAGTTGTATATAACTTTGTTATTATGTAGGCAAATGCATGAATAAAATCAAACAAACAAACAAACAACTAATTAAAAGTGGTCTTTTTATGACACAGGTTCCTTTAGTATTATGTTTCAGTGAGATATATTAGTCAAGGAAGAAAACAAAGGTGATATCTAAACATAGGTTTTCTTTCTATAAAGATGGTCTATACAGATGCTGTAAAGCAGGTTTCACTAATGCCTGGTTTGTTTGTTTTGCTTTTCTGATTTGTTAGTGCTTTGATCACCGTGCGTGAGACGTTTGCGGAATCGAAGACAAAACGGACAGCGACTTGCTGTGACTGGTTCTGCATATCAAAATGTTCTTCATACAGGTAAGCGTAACTATGGAAACCAGATGCCAAAAACAAATCGATTACCTACAATAATGGTTGGCCGTTGATTTTAATGAAGAGCTGTCGTATATGAAATGATAGAAGGTATGACTTTGAATCAGTTCAAATAGAAACGATGATTTGACAAAGGAAAGAAAACAAATATCAAAACATAGTTGAGATTCATACTCATAGGGCATAAAGAATCATAGCAATAGCCTTTCTGAGTTGTGAAATCTTGCCAGGCATCAAGCAATTAAGGGTAGGAGCTTATTATTTTCTGTCCCTCACTAATTGACTCAAATAGTGTCAATTATCTCATCAAACATCGTATACTAGTATTTAAATGATATATGAGGGCACGTTCAATAATTTATAGGCTGAAAATGGTAAGTGGAGAGTTGTCCAAAGTATTCAAATTCCAGGTCATTCCACATATTTCGACGGTGACTTTGTTCGAGGAAATCAGAGCTCTCGTACGAATGGCTTTGCACGAGATTTCCATATTCATAATAGGTTTTCATACTACATTGATCTAGACCTGATCTAGACATTCTTGTGAATGTAACAGTTGAGGAAGAAGGAAGAATCATAACTAATCGTGCTGTAATGGAAGAATCGTATAACTGACGGAAAAGTTGATCTAAATGTTTAGTGTTGGGACAGTGGAGGGACGAAATTTAAGCTGTTAGTTCTGTTGTTAGATATGCATCCAAACTTGATACCCGAATATCAATGTTATTAATAATGACCTCATTCTGTTTGTAATGAGATATGACTCGGTATATGAGTATCATTTTGTTGCCAAAGATGATTCACAGAATAATGTTTTTCTTTTACGGTTAGAATGGTTTATCGTACTGCTTATCGGAACGCGCTACGGACGATGTACAAAATAGATTTGGGATGTTGCCCAGGCTGGAGACCTCAGGAAGGGCACTGCGTACCTGCTTCCATACCAGGTAGGTACACGGGGTCATACTGACAAGATGAGATGGGGGCCTACATTCACCTCTCCCACAGTTCCTATCGCATCGATTTTAGGCCCTTCCAGTCTTCCTATATACTTATGTTGTTGTTGTTGTTTTAGTCTTAAGGGCGTGTGCCATTCAATTATGAATATTTACGCCGTACGCATGACGAGTAAGAGTACCTTCGGACCAGGGTATGTGAGTTAAAACACCTCCCTGTTCGGACCGAGATCCATGGGACACATGGTCAGTGGGAGGTAAGGCAGTCGGGGCATCTAGGACAACAGGGACATATAGGACAGTTCATTGAAGGCCAGCTGTGACGTACTGAGCAGTGGGTCGCAGGACGAATTGGATAGTACTGATCCGTAGATTGGAGAGGACGGATGGACCAATTGAACATATAGGACCAATAGTAAGGATATATTGACTGCTTTGAGAGGCATAGTGGTTTCTATAGGGTCTCGGGAAACTCACAACCTGCTAGACCCCAAGGCGCTTGCGCCGCGGGGTCATAGCAGGTTGTGAGTTTCCCGAGACCCTATAGAAACAACTATGCCTCGAATATTAAAAGCAGTCAATGTATATTTTATATACCGAAAAAAAGGAAAATGTTGACTCACCCATTTAGGTTTCCATCTCATCGCACAAAAGAAACTTATACGGTAACACGTAAACCAAAATGGGGATCGCAGCAAAATGACGTCACGTTTCACAGCCATGGAAAAAGTGCTATGAAAAATGGATATAAACCGGTAGAGCCGGGAAAAATGACTATGAATTTCAATTAGCGGACATGGTTAAGAACATGACTGCATTTTCAACCAATCAGAAGACAGGATTAGTAAAGAATCTTAAAATGAGGTATATTATTCATATTATAGGTCAAACATAACAGTAACACTAGTTGAGTTATTGTGCTGTTCACATCATCGAAGTTCGCGCACTCAAGCCTCTGATAATTATGTTGCTTGCATACACCTTTCAGGCAGATCAGTATCTTCCAAATAAAATAACCGAATCAATTTCCCTGCAGCAGCCTAAAAATCAAAGTGTCATGGAATTGTGTGAAAAGGACGGCCAATAATACGGACATTCGACAATATCAGTCATGAGAACTCCCGAAATAGATGTCATAAAACCTCTTGAGACAAATTTACCTGTCCCATATGTTTAGTTTAGTGTCGTAGACTATAATCTTTTAAGTGCTCGAACAATGCAAAGTGCGTACAGATTGATAAGAAATAAATATAGCTTCCTCGAATTAACCAGGTAGACTGGTTCATCTGTCATCTGTTATTTCCTGCTCTATGATTGGGCTTCTTTGTTGTTCTTTTTGTCTTCGATTTTCTGTTCCTAAATGAGTCAGAACGCAGAATTAGAGTTGGGGCATTATTTAGGGATAGATATGCATTGTGAAGGTCATCAGCTTTGAGTTAGTCACTGATATACCGGTACAGAGGACTCGAACATGACGAAATTGTATCAATACCAGGCACGGATCCAGGAATTTCTTGCCGGGGGGGGGGGGGCACACGGGGGGCACATTTTTTAGTCCCCCCCAAAAATCGCAACGACTCAGCCAGCCGCTGAATAAGCGGGGGGGGGGGGGGGGGGGGGGGGGGGGGGGTCAGAGGACACTTTTTTTTTTGTCACGAATTTTTTAATTTTTTTATTTGCTCCGTAGGGGGGGGGGGGGGGGGGGGGGGGGGGGGGAAGGTCACCTTTTTACGTCAGCCATTACCATTTTTTTTTTTTTTTTTTTTTTTTAAATAAAATTGTTAATAATTTTTTGGGGCCCTTTGCCCCCCCCCCCTGGATCCGCCACTGAATACATTTATATTTTCAAAAGAAATAAGGGAAATTGGAAATGTATAAACACTGAAATTAAATAATAAAGTACATTTTCTCTGGTCCTAAAGGCTGAACATTTTTGAAGGTTTAATCCGCGTGCCCCTCCCCGACCCAAGATCTCGTTCATGAAGTTGAAAAGTGAGCACCTGGTAATGTGAGAAAATTATGATTGTAAGGGTGTGTGGAATAACCGGAGGTTACTCATCGACTAGGGCATTTGATATTGGATTGTTAAAAATTGCTAACAGATGAATGGATTTTAGAAGAGAATAGTAAGAATACAAAAGATTCCGCTGTACAAATGAAAATTTAAATGGCCTACTTTTCCCACGCATCTCTTTCTTATTCCTGTTGATAAAATAATTTTCTATGAAATATTCACGCCTAATTATGATATATTCTCTTACACTTTTAATTGAGGCGTAGCGTCGGTGCAGAGAGGGCACTGACATCATGGGGTATACGATAGGAGCACCGGTTTCACTAGGTTGATGAGATGTGAATAGAGAGGACAATCGATAAGGAGAGGCTATGGCAGGGGTCCTTTGATTTTTTTTTTCTTTTTGCGTCCACCTTTCCTTGTCTATTTTGCTCTTTACTCTTTTTTTTCACCATTCATTTTGGGGCACGAGCCCTTGCTCCCCGTAGCTCTGGTACGTTTTTTGTTTCATATGCAGTATAATCAATCATTCAGTATGCACCTTGTATATTGTATTCACTAAATATAAACAGGTCGTAGTATTGTTGGTTCATTCAGTTGACCCTTAATCCAAGAGTTGAGGGTTCGAATCTCATCTCTTCACTAACGTCCTTTGGTGTGACATTAGTCCGTATTTGCCACCAAAGTGTAATTGCGTATTAAGCAATTATTTATGGCGTAATAATAATCACACGGCCCTCAGAACAAGTCATTGATGCTGAGGAGGCTCCTTGGATAAACAACAAGTATTATTTGTTATACATTGTATTTATCATTATTATCTTCCTTCAACTGTTAGATGGTCGAGCTGAGGCAACCCTGGTCCCATTCCTGCCTGGAAGACCACAGGGTGAACCAAGGTCTTCAGGGGCTCATCAAGGTGATACAGGAACCTCATCACACACTGTAGAACAAGGTAAGAAACATGGTAAGGAACATGATTTTGAAAGAATCTGGTGATGTGAATATCTAGACACTTATTTGTAGATTGTTATGATCTTTGCGATTAAGGCGAAGTGGCCGGAGAGGAGGGGGAGAGGGGGGGTCACGTTTCCGAAAACATCAGATAGTACTGCTATCTACACTGTGCAACGCACTTTAACTGAAGATAGTAGTACTATCTACACAGTGTAACGAACTTTTCTTCTCCCATCAATGATGGGCGAACTATCTTTCATCACGTGGCAAGATTCTTAGTATGTGAAATATGATCTGCGATATCCAGTGAATGTAAGATCTTGCTCTTTCAGATTGGCATTTTACCTCCTCTAACCTATTGTTGTTTCCTTCTCTCATTGTGTATTGTTGTCAGTGATCATTGTCTTCATGCCATGGAATTTCACTGACATCAACTTATCTTCAAGACGTCAACCAAGACGCCCTTATGATTACTTGAACGTGTGTATCTCAACACCCCATGAATGGCAAACTCTATCCCAAACCCTACAACTCCCAAGTGGATGCTCATCACATTACATTAAGTTACAGTTTTTCAACAATCACTGTTAGCCTGCCAAGACATTGCTCGACCTTTAAAATCTATGTTTTGTGGATTGGACCCGTAGCAAAAGTGTCACTTAAAACCCATTCAGCGGCAGAGTTCCAATATTGTATGCGCGCCCACTCGTAGAATGACTGCGTGTGAACTTCAGCAATGTCAGAGAAAACACCCCCATGAACATGTTGTTTCCTCCGTCACCCTGCAGGCGAAGCCAGCTTTTTTCTATGTTGGAGAAAGGTTGTTCATTCATAATACACCGACAAAAGCGAGAACGCAGATTGTGTACATGCCAACGAATATTCATAATGTTAGAATTTATTCACAAAAGCGCAAAGAAAGGGTGTTTGGGGCAATGATCTCCTGCACACTTTACATCTCCTATAAACATTAACCTGCACCATTCTATACTCTAAGCTAATTCCGTATTTTCACTAAATTTTTCTTGAAGCAATTTTAAACAAGATTATCTGATTATCATACCTCGAGGAAGGAGGGGAATGACGAAACTGATGAAATGGCTAAAGGAGATAGTCGAGAAGGGTAGGCGGAGCAGGAGGAGAAGGAAGAAGAGGATCAAACCTGAGAAAGAAAGAAAGAAAGGGAGAAAAAAGAGACATGCTGAAATAATAAGAGAGAGGAGGAGTAGATCATAAATTGATAAATGAGAGAAGAAGAATTCATTTAAAAAAGAGGAGGAAGTGGTGAAGGAGAAGACGAAAGAGGGGACATCACTCACATCGATCAATTCGATTAAGGCAAAATTAGTGAACGTGGTTTCAGTTTGGCACTGTACTTTCAGGATCAACGCCCGAGGCGGTGTTAAGGATCTAGCATGATCCTCATGTCTAGTCATCTTGCTTATGGTTCCACCAAGTCCGTAGAATCCATAAGATATTTCAATATATTATTATCGCATGGTACTGGAGCGCCAGGATTGTTAAGTCTGACAGACATGAGCGCTGTACAAAAACCCACTATTATTATTATTATTATTATTATTATTATTATTGACACTGTACATGACTTGTAGGAACCTCTAATATTGGGAAGTCTCACCTGGGCCAATGAGGCGTTGAATGATCTAGCACAATCACTGGTCTAGATGTGTAGTTATCTTGCTGATAGTTCCACCAGGTCCGTAGAATCCATAAACAGAGTAAATACTTCATTAACTGAATATTGTTTTATTTTGACTCTTTACCTGTATAATTATAGGATCATCTGGTAAGGACCAGCAGGCTGGTACTTCATCAGGAACCAAACCAATCTACCGTGAGCCGAGGTTACCGGGTCGAGGAGACTCAGCACACGTAGGAGACGTCTACGTCATCAAGAAGTCTCGTTCTGATGCTTGGGCAACCTCTCACCCAGTCGAGATGTCAGTTATCGTGGGTATGCTCGGGATCGTCACCGTCGTCATACTGGTCTGCTGGTCAATTTACAAGAAAAGGTGATGACACTCATCAATGTGAAGGGAAAGTAGGGGAAACTAGATTTAACTGTTGTACCCAATCCCTGAATCTCTTGGGTCACTTCTAAGTAGACCGACAGTCTCATGAACCCTGTGAAAGGATGTCAGAAGGCCAAGGAGTCCGATCTGTCAGTCTTGTGGACTGTCGGTCACATTAATCTTCGGATTACCTTTCATAACGTTTTTGTTTTCGTGAGCTTTCTGTACTATGGACCGTCGCGTCGGTCTTGTGAGATGTCTGTATCGTAGTCTATAGCCGAATAAAAAATAAAAAACACTTTAAATAGAGATAAGGGCTGCATCTTGGTTTCATGTTTGTGAATATTTCCCCCTTGAATCGTGTGTTGAATTAATGTATTGTAAATAAAACAAGTGAATTTGGGGAGGTGCCGTGGTGTAATGGATACGTCACTGGACTCTAAATCAAATGGTTTGCGGATCGAGGCCCGCGGATGCACTAGTGTCCTTTGGCAAAACATTAATCTATATTCGTCACACTCGACACACTCAGGTGAGATAAAGGGGTGCCTAACATGAATTAATTCCTGGAAATGATGGAGAGGGCCATAATGGCAGCCACGCTAAATCCAGGGTAATCATTTTGAAGCACCAGAAGTGTGAAGTCTGACAGACATGGGCGCTGTACAAGAACCCACTATTATTGTTATCATCATCATCGTTATCATTATCATTATTATTATTACTGTTAGTGTTAATATTAGTATTTCTACTGTCGTTGAAGGAAAATGTTATCATACATTTTCATGACCTTTTTAAATGACCGGTAAAAATAATGTTGACGAGTCCTGTGAATATCACGGTTTTTTTTTTTTTTTTTTTTTTTAAATGATATTTTATTTCCTTCCTCATAATTTCACATAACAAGAAATTCACATAACAAGAAATTATCAAATTAAGCAATATAAAACAAGTTCTTTGATACAAGACATATCATAAGTTACATTAATCAATGAACATAAAGGGGAAAAAAAAGGAAAAAAAAAAAAGAAAAAAAAAGTCTTGCATGTATCAGTGTATACTCAAAATAACAGTAGAGGAAGGTTTAAAGTTACATATTACCATCCTATCACAACACTCTCACACCCCCCCCCCCCCCCCTCTAGCCCACCCGCACCACACCCCCTTTCACACACATAAACAACCATACAAACACAAACACACACTGCATGCAACCTGTTCCCTCAACTCACACCACACAGACTCTTCACCCCCCCCCCCCCCCTAGCCCACCCATCTCACACCCCCTTCACGCCGACACACACGCTGCATGCAACCTGTTCCGGTTTGTCCACCTGTACACGAGAGAGAATTAATAATACTACCAATAATAATAATACCCACATAATACCCACGTCCATTAAGGTAAAAATGCATCGATTTGTTCCCATTTCTGTAAGTGCATCCCCAGTTTCCCCTTTTTGAAGGCTATTTTGTATTCCTCGTCTCTGTAATTTTTAAGCATATGTACTGTTTTCTGTACAGATGGCAAAGTTCCTTCTTTTCTAGAAATAAAAATGATATACTTTACTAAAAAATATGATACAATTTATTACAAATATTCTAGTAGTATTTCCGGATATTCCCATAAATATGGGTTTCCAATCATCAATGTCAATTTCGATTAAATGTAACTTTTGAATTACCTCCTGCCATAATCTTTTAACTTTAAGACAATCTAAAAATAAATGTTGATATGTCTCTACTTCTAGTCCACAAAAGGAACAAAAATGGTCTGACTCAAAACCAAATTTAAAGAGCTCTCTTTTCGTATATACAGCCCCTTGTAATTGTTTGTATTGAAACTCTCTATGCTTATTACAAAGCATTGCACCTTTCATCCTTGTAAATGTTTCTTTCAACTCCGTCATTCCAAGATCAAATTGACAGTTGCCATCTGTAACATGTAATGTATACTCTTTTTGAAGGTCTTTAATGAAGTAATCATAATACCGCCTAGATTTTATATCACATAGTTTCTGTAAACGTCCATATATCATCAATTCTATTTCAAAATTTTCAATGTCCACTTCCATAAAATCACTTTGTATCCATTCGTTTCTGATTGCTGAAAAGATCTTTTGAATTCTAAGCAAGCTTTTAGTTGCAAAACCCAAATTTAAAAAATGTAAGATCGGTTTTAAATGACCTCTGACAATTATATCTAATTATATCTGATGCTTGAAGTATACCTTTCTGAAAATTTTTTTTGTGCCAACACAATCAGGGTGTATAGCGCCATCTCAAAGCAATTTCAAAACATGGGAGCAATTTGAGTAGACAAGTTCTAAAGACTAATACGAAAAGAATAAGTGGCTTAAACTCTTACTCTTGCCTATCCATGATTTCTTTTTTACCACCTGTAAAAAATGAAGCATACATTTTTTTGCCATTCTGGTAATTATGAGATTCATAATCGAATGCGCATGTTTGATTTGATTAGATAGTATATGTGCTTGTGACCCTCTTTACATTCAATATCAACTCCTATGTCTTATGTTATTCACAAAAGTACACAAGAAAGAATAAGAAAGACCTTCAATTGAAAAACAGAGTATTTGACTTGGCCCGTGTCATCAACATGTGAGAACCGTTCATCTTCAATAAATCGTCTGGGGAATCATGCCTGGGCATTTAGAAAACACAAGCATTGAATAATGGATGCCCTATAGCTAGCTCCCAGGTTCGAGTTCTACGCAGGTTTCCTGCTAACATTTTCATTGTGACTCACAGTGCATCTAGTCCCTCCTAATAACTTCCATGTGGCTATACATTTATTATTTCAACCAAATAAACACGCTCGCTGTCAAAACATGTATATGAAAAGTCATTAAACACTGAGGTCTGTATTTTACTAATTCAGTTAGCTCGCCCCTGGGTCTAGGATAGGAAATCGTATAGACCTCAGTCTAGCTTCCTTTGTTGACCCGATTTTGAGCATGAACTGATAAGACCAGCAGATGGTAACATTTATTTTTAAAAGGGACCTATGGCTTTCGGTTACAGAATTAATATTTTGTCAAGTCTCAAGTTATTTAATTTGCTAGGTTATGTGGAACAATATCGTATAGGGTGTTTTACAATACAGCGCATTTTTTTAGACATTTCCGTTAAGTGCATTATTGTTGCCATTTTTCTTCTTGTTCAACTAGCAGAATATGAACGCCGCATGACGCCATGTTGCCCCCCCCCCCCATTTTGTTTTGTTGTAGTTGTTGTTCGTTTGTTTGTTTGTTAATCACAATTTATGCAGAATGTTCACCATGCGCTGTTTCTCTCTTCACTTGTAGATTGATGAGGAATCATACAGCACTGATACAGCTTAATAAGGGTATGTGACAAATGTGCATATCTTTTTTTTTAGGGGGGGGGGTGTACGTGGCAGGTGGGCCAGTAGAGTTTTTTCGGTAATGGTCATGAATATCACCCGCTCTCGAAGAAGTACCTATATAATCATGAACAACTATCATGCAACGGTGCGGAATGTGTGCGCTTGACTCTATGAAGCAAATGATTTTCTTACATGTTTTGGCATGACTAAAAAAAGTGCAACGACTTGACATAGTCCGGAACCGGAAGAGCTCGGGTTCAAATTAAATCCAGTTCGCTAAAGTTCTATACAGTACTGGCAATTATATTTTCCTTCGATTGAATAGAATATTTTACACACTTTATTTTGTCTTAGCATCCCATGCAGGTAGAATGAATACAAATAAGGAAATCCGATTTGTATTAATTTTTCCTTATTATGATGTTTTTTCTTGATTTCTTTAACAGCAGAGGAGAGGCCAGAAGCCTGCGAGGCGGGCACTTTTCAGTACGAAGTAATTCCGAAAACGGACGGGGCAAACCAACAAGTACAAGCCTCTTTAGCGCCCTCAGCGATAGTTCCGCCAGAGGAGCACATCTACCAAAACTTTCCCATTTTTAAATCGCGGGCATTTCGTTACAAGAACATTCAACCCCAGGTATCTCAGGAGCCTATAGATGGTTTTTATGAAGTGAGTCTACCAGAGGGAGAAAATAATCCAAGATACACGATGCTGAACGTAGGGGATAGGCAGTCATCGTCATCTTATACAGCGCTCCAAAATATTCCAACTACGTCTAGAGAAGAGACATGATGATCGCTCACCGAATAGACGTAAATTAAAAAAATGTGCATCTACGCAATATTATTTATCACTGACTTACTGACAGTAAGTTCCTTGGATCAGGAATACTGAACTTTAACAATAATCAATGATGGAAAATGGTGGGGAGGAGAATATCATAACGATGAATATGAAAAATAAACACTATTTAAAGAAGCAAAAGACGACGAAAGAGACATCGAAAAAATAATAATAATACATGTAGGTGTACGAGGTTGGGGTAGGGCTGCAATAACACCTAACCCCGTCCCAACGAGGATGTTTAAAGTACGGATATTTGTTTGTATTATGATAAATAAGTGACTTTTTGTTGTTTGGTCGCTCGCAAAATAAAGAAATGGAGACTTGAAGAGGCATTAGCTTCCCTCATAAAGAAAAAAGTGAGCTCATTTGCCTGTTAAAAGAAGGATGAACAACAGAATCATAAAATGATCACGACGACGAAGATGAAGAAGAATGAGGAAAAAAGAAAAAAATGGGATGAAAGAAAACAAGACTTAACGGGACTGCTTTTGGATATTCATTGCAAAAATGAATGATAAGCATTACAATGAGAATCATTGTCAGTTGAAGTATAAGTAGCGTTAACAATCATGTAAACATCGATGCCATAAACATGCTAAAAGAAAACATAATTGTGTTGAAGAGCTGGTTCTCCATGAATAATTCAATGTAATTTCCATTAAAAATGATTATGTTTTCGCTGTATTTAGTCATTTTGACTGAGCAACAGTCGGAATGGCAGAGGCCAATATACTTGCTGCTTGGTAAACGTTTGGATCTGAAATGCTGAATAAATAAAATCATTATGTATATCACTACGCGAGGCTTTAATTCATGCCAATGCCGTACTTATGATTAATATATTATTTATTCATTTATTTTGTTTATCTGTTCATTATTTATATATTTTTTAGGGGGCGTGCACCCGAACCGTGAGTCTGTTTATCATGAACGCAAAATAACTTATTTCACTTGATGCTGCCCAGCAAATGAATGTGACATGTGTGTGAATACCATCAGAATGTGCAATGAATATGAAACATATTCTTTGAAAGTTCATTATGGAGAAAACATGGGTTAACTGTGACCATCGTCTATTTGATTGATAAATGACACAACATTTTTTTGGATTTGTGAATGTGATGTAGTGTGGCGTTTTTTGGAAGACTGTTTTAGGAGGTCGTAAAACTTGTATTCTTAGAAATATAGTCATTGTATTTTAAATAAAGTGAAATAAAAATGTATTCAGTGTGTTCCAACATTTCTTGTCTGATGCCGATGGAGAGCCATATTGAAAATAACTAATTTAGGAGTGGTCAAATGTATAAGTTAGAATGAATCAAAACAGTTAAAACAACACGATTACAAAGACTTTCAAAAATCAACCAGAGGCGATTTAATAGCCTTGTGCGCAATCTTATTCAAATGTGCAACATTACAATGACCTTCTTAATAATCCGAACATGATATTCTAGGCAATGCAATACATATTACTAAAATTTCCTTTGGTAAAATCTTTGTGATCGCGTTGCTTTTATACTGAGAAAAGACATCGGTATGTGTACAAAAAATCATATTTAATCATTCGAAATGTGTTCTACTTCTACAAGTTCATTCGCCTATTCAGATCATTTGAGTTTGATTTAGCCATACAAAAAATCAGTGATACCTATCTGAGGATAAATTATTTTGTAGATCCCCATACACTGACAAATAGTAAACACCCTATATGCACTTCTCAATACGGTATATGTAATGGGTATAGAAATAATCAGTCATCAGGCTATCGAACCCGATCGATTTGGGGAGTGGCTAATAAGAAGTCCTCCCTCGGTTGCGTCCCCAATCCCCCTCCCCTCTAGAAAAAGACGGTCGGGGGAATGCATCGCCCCTGTCCGGGGGCAGGTTTGGAAGAGCCCGGGCTGGCCCTGGTAGGGTAGTATCTTCCCCACCCTCATATCTCCATGAATTCGCGCGGGAGCGCCCGCCCGACTCTCTCGCCGGGGGAGGATAACTGTCATGGGGATAAACCTGTGCCCCTAGACTTCTTCCTCCGGATTCTAAATTCTCAACCGTAAGATCTTTAGAAATGAGTCCCTATAATGTATAGTGGCTTCGATGACGAGAAAGGCCTATCCTTCATATTACTAGAGTAATTGTAACTTAGTGCTAAGTAACAGTTTACGCCGCTGGGAACATAGTGTAAACCCCCCCCCCCCCCCCCCCCACTCAGTGTTATTTAGGGTACGCGTATGCTCGTTCCCTCTTTTTGAAAGCACCCCCTATCTGAGGACTGCCAACATTTCCGAAACCCCCTTTCGCGGGCTTTTCGAGGGGCTTTTCCTGCCTTGGAGACCCCCCTAAATACGGAAAAATTCTCAATGTACCCCCCTAAATTCGGAATAATTTCTCAGGAGTCCAAAGAGATGAGAGAAAAAAAAGAAAAACACCCCCCTTTTAAAGAAATCTCCGGGTCAAAAGTCAAATACACCCTTTTTTTGTTGTTTACAATTCTCGGGCCGGACTTTGTCGCACGAAAAGTACCCCTTTACCGGACATTTTGGTAACACGCATGCGGTCATTTCGACCCCGGAGTGGGGGGGGGGGGGGGGCGGGCGGGCGGAGTGTAAACGTAGCATTAGGTGACTAACATGTCTATGCGAACTGCGAACAAAGATTTTGGCATGTTTACTTTCAGTGTCTTGGTCACAACATGGCGTATGTTCCATTGCTTTGTGATTGCCCAGCCAAGCACTATATAAAGCAACTCGAACCGTGATGACCGAACTATGTATTATATCAATGCCTCTGGTGACCATTTACTAATAGCGCCCTCTTTTACAATAACTTTTTCTTTGGATGTCCAATGTTATCCCAGCGGCCTAAATCATTAAAGGCACCAAAATGAGAGCAATGTTTTGGTAAGGGTTATCAAATAAGAGCTTCCCCCCCCCCGTCTTATTTGAAGGATGACAAATTTCGTACAATTCAATAATATTCAGATCAGTTACACTCATTCTTCCTTCCGTACTTGATTAAATATAACCCAAAGCCCTCTATCGGTCAGACTCTATGCTGCTTATTCCGGTAACTAAAAAAGTTATCAAATAATGCTCTATAAAAGTACGACAAACAAACTCAATCTTTTACTTCAAAAAGTTCAAAAAGTTCATTTAGTCCCCTGTTATGGATAGCAGTCCTTATAAATAGCGAACAGACCCCATTATTACATTTAAAAGTATTACAAGTAAAAGATTGGGTTTGTTTGTCGTTCTTTTAAAGAGCATAATATTTGTGTGTAAATTAATTTTTGTAAAAAAAAATTTAAACTAAAAAAGGTGACCATACCCCCAACTCCCCAACGAAACGAAATGTCGATCCGGCAAAAATTTTCAAATGTTGGGACCAACAAAAATCACTTCGTTATGCACGATTCCTTACAATTCCGTTCTCTGTCTATACGATATAAACGAAAACATTATACATTTATGCCTTGTTTATACCAGCTTATACATCTAGATTCGGGTTTCCGAATAATTGAATGAAGGACTCACCCGGATATAGCGCCTCTGATTCTAGGAAGAGGCAATGCCGTAAAAAAAAAACGATTGTTCATGGAGGAAACTAGACTCGATTACATTGCAAAAACAGAAGGAAATGACGTATTCAAATAAAAAAGGGGCACTTTTCCTCTTGCTATCGATCAGACTAAACCACGCATGTTATAACTATCGTTATGCACAATTAAACTCCTGTATAAAACTCACGTACAAGGAAAAGAGAAGGAAGTGGTCGAGATAATTAGATCTGTGGTTCTACACATTTTGTCAGTACTGTTTTGATCAACGAAACGGCCATTATATTTTCTTTTTCGAATTTAGCAGCTGATGATCACAAGTGAGCACTGAAATAGACAACGATGGATCTGGCAAACCGGCGATTGGTCGTCATTTTGTTGGTGCTTTATAACGGTATATATGCCAATATTCTTAACATTTTGTATATTCGTTTGTCTAATTTCTTTGCATAGCAATTTACACTTGAATATTCTTATCTGCAACTCGCATAAGTTCTCAAGTTCAACTTCAATTTCAAGTTCAAGTTCAAGTTTTATTTATCTTTCTTTCATAGCAAACATTACAAGTAGACATGAATATAACAAGTTGAAGATGAGGTGACCTTGGTTGAAAGCAAGGCTTGCCGGAATTAAGGTCCCTCATGAGTAGCTTGTCGGTTCAAACTCATTATCTACATGTAAAAGCCATGCAGGGACAAAGCCAAGTGGCGACGTACATAATGTTAAAAAAATAACTGTCAAGCCTTATACAAAAGAGGAAAATAGAGAACGGAAGAAAAAGTGCTTGTAATGATTTTTCGGTGACATTTTAATCTCAAACTTATTTGACAAGGCAAGAAAAAGAAATAAAATGTGTACCATTAAGAAAGTGGTTGTGTACTACAAGTACGTCACTGGTATTTCACAGGGGGAGGGGCAATTATACGGCCCATGCCCATCCCCCTAAATCCGTCAGTTATGAGACTGTGTATTGGAATACAGGCTACCAGTTCAGACTTTCATACGAATATTATAGACTTATATGGGCAAATATAAAGAAGATTGCAATGTTCTATCAATGAGTTAATAATAATGATTAGTTTGCGTCCCGAAAATTCGGACATCAAACATGATTGGCAATATTGCATTACCATCTTCTTTCTGTATGATATGATTGTATACATGCATATATGACGGTATTAGTGGCACTGTATTCGATATATATTACATTCGATGACTCCGTAATGGATCATTTTCAATTTAATTGAATATAAGAACGATGACAGAAAGATATATCACATTTTCAAAAATATATTTGTGGTTTATTGATTACTCTTTAGAATTTCACAAATTCAACATGATAAATTGATACGCGAAATGTTCTATCATGAGTCCAAACGAACCGGGTATTAATGATGGTAAGAATGATAACTTTCAATGCCATTCAATTCAAGGGGCGCTAGAGAAGTAAAGAACAATACTCACATTTGACTTGTGGTTGATTGGTTGGATGATAATATCAACAACAACATAAACAACGATCGACGATGATGATGATGATGATTATGAAAATTATAATTATATATTTTTTGTTATTCATGATTGTGTGAAAGGGTCTTTGTCTAAGCATAATATATGCATACTATACTACGATTAATTTAATGGCCCGAACCGTATTCGCCATTTTATACACGCATGTGTGCTTCCATATCGCGTCAGTTGCTTAGCAACCATGGTGGTTTTCACCTTAATTGACTTCAATTCAATAGGAATATACCTTATCGCAGTTAACTTGCTTCTGCATTTATACCCGCATTCGCATGTATCTGTCTGGATGATGATGCGGGTATATACATGTATGTATGTATGTATGTATATCAAATATCTTTTTGATTGGATTGGATTAGATTGTGTTTAAGTCAATATTCCCCTCACAAAAAATGGTATCATATGCGTATGAGAGTACATTCTTATTCTCTGCTTGTCGTAAACTAAACGAGATGTAGTTTACAACCTGCTATAGTTTTTTGGGGTATGGCAAATGTGCTGTTCAAAGTGGGTGTAAAATCTATTTACAAATACTACTACAACAACGAATACTACAAGTCTACAACTACTACTACTATTGCTTTACGATTACACTTCAGTTCTGTACATAATAACAGGCCTAACTATATTGCCCTACATACTATATTGACACAAAGTCTGAAGGAAGGGAAGGGAAAGGGAAAAAAAAAGAGGAGAGAAAGGGAAGGAAAAAATAGGAAGAAGAAAAGAAACAAAGGGGGATATCAGTTGCAATTTTCCTGCCAAGTTGTAGTTGGGGGGGGGGGGACAAAAAGGCCCCTGCCCCCCCCCCCCCCCCAAAAAAAAGGGGGGGGGTAAGGGAAAGGGAAAGAGAAGAGCTAAAAAGGAACAAAAAAGAGGAAGAAGAAAAGAAGGGCAAAACAGTTCCGATTAATCCCGGCAACAACGTGTGGATGGGGGGGGGGCGAAAGGCCCTTGCCTCCCCCAGCAAACCTAAAACAGAGAGAAGGAAGGGAAAGGAAAGGAAAAGAGGAGAGAAAGGGAAAGAAAAAAAGAAAGGTATGGGAGATCATTTTAGATTTTTCCTGCGAACAAGGTGTAGATCGGGGGGGGGGCACTGGCGTACTGTTGGGGGAGGGGGGGTGACAGATGCCCCCTAAATATAATTCAAACGTGGTTTATTTTTAATTTGAAAGAGAAGAGCTAAAAAGGAACAAAAAGAGGAAGAAGAAAAGAAGGGCAAAACAGTTCCGATTAATCTCGGTAACAACGTGTGGATGGGGGGGGGCGAAAGGCCCTTGCCTCCCGCAGCAAACCTAAAACAGAGAGAAGGAAGGCAAAGGAAAGGAAAAGAGGAGAGAAAGGGAAAGAAAAAAGAAAGGTATGGGAGATCATTTTAGATTTTTCCTGCGAACAAGGTGTAGATCGGGGGGGGGCACTGGCGTACTGTTGGGGGAGGGGGGGGGGGGGTGACAGATGCCACCTAAATATAATTCAAACGTGGTTTATTTCTAATTTGATACCGGTGATTTACAAATGTTGCTGAAATGACATCATTTTCCGAGATTTTTCCTCAATGTTTAATTAATTATCCTTTTTTAAGCGTTTGTTGGAAAGTGGCAAATTAATAAAGAAAGAAAGAAAGAATAGTAACCTAAAAGTACGACAAACGGATAGTTCTGCTTCTCCATATTTTTAACACACCCTTTCGGCCATACCGGGGGGGGGGGGGCTTTGGACGAATGGTAGCGTCCAAGTTAACGTGACGCGACGCGACACTCCCAACGCACCCTTTCGGCCAAACTGGGGGGGGGGGGGGCTTTGGACGAATGGTCGCGTTCAAATCAACTCGCCGCGACGCGACGCTATCCACCCTTTCGGCATAAGCCGGTTGAAAGTGCCCTGTGTATTATCACCTAAGCATACTCCAAATAAACGAGATTTTGCCTTAAATGGAAATCCAAATCAGAGAACCAGACTGCTGAAACTTTGAATGAAATCGGACAAGAAATTAGAAAGTTATGAATTTGTAAAGTAGTAATCACTATGGGTATGGGCTCTTCAAGTTGGCTGAATCGTCCGCCTTTTAATACATAGCGTTTAATACATCATCGATGTTTCTAGGCGCTTTACAAACATATTACAGAGATGTAACACTACGAATATTACGGACAAAGAAAGAGGACAAAATATACAGTTCCTCAGGTAGACAAAGGAACATCACTTCACTGCTCTTATCTAAAAATGTGTAGAACAGGTGTCACATGCATATACACCTGTTTTACTCATTTTTACATAATAGCAGTGGAGGGATGTTCCTTTGTCTACCTGAGGAACTGTATATTTTGTCCTCTTTCTTTGTCCGTCATGTTCATATGTATTATAAACGATTTAAACGAGGGTATGGCTTTGTGCGTAGTGTTAGACAAGTTTTCTATTTTTACCAGCACAAAAGGACTAAACTTTCAATTTATCAAGTATCTATGACCCGGGATGATCTTTTCTCTTTAGAGGACCTATTATAATATCCTATCAATAATAATTTTTGAGTAGTACCCTAAGGGAGAGGGCATTTGGGAGAAAAACAGAACTTAAAGATATTTGTGTGCAAATGACAAACGAAAGAGTTGTCCGTGTCTACGTCACAATCCCCGGACCAACTGTCAATTTGAGTATCGCATCTCTTTAGTAATCTCATATTTCAAAATTCATAATTCTCCTATTATTGGTCCGACTTATCTCAAACTTTCCCCATTCTGTGTAACTTATGCTTCTACTTTCAACTGAAATTATACTCTATGCATTATAAGTATTCAAGGCATACAATTCTGCACACAATGTATTCATTTTTATTGCATGGCCGGATTGTGTTTGATGCCATGAAGGCATTTTAGAAAGGGAAAATAAAAGTGAAACTTTGCGTATTGTTTTTATTACATAATTACATTCGGTTAGAACGATATAGCTTGAAAAGTAAATTATTGTGATATTTTTAACCCTATCATAATTCCTGTACTGAAAGGGTTAAGGGTACAAATATGAGTTATTATCGCCATATTACTATAGCAGCAGGTCTCTTAAAGGGATCCGGTAATTAAACTCAGTTGTCTCAGATTCTTAAACAAAACTCTGGATTTAGCTCATGCTGCAATGATAATTATAAACCTTTAGGTCAGTCAGAAACCCCATGACTTAAAAGCCGAGCGCCTGTCTGATTATCAAGATATTTATGATTGGAATTACAATTTTTGAAAACCGTTTGCCAAACGGTTTTCATAACACTACAGTCTATTGGGGAAAACGAGTATGGTAAAATCGGTCACTCAAAGATTTTTACTTTTTTTTAGAGTCGTTTAAAGTCGTTTACAAGGCCGCACCGTTACAATCAATTTCTAACCCATCCTCTCAATTCGTCCTTTAAATTCCAGTGGTGTCGCTATGTCGAGCCCAGTACCATGGGAAGCTTGTTGGTACCTTTACTGATAAGTCAACACATGACATAGCCGGGACAGTGTACGCAGAGGATGAGACCACTCTCAGAATCATCGGCTTCAGATATGACGGTGCTGGTCCAGGTAAGAACATGCACGCTTGCACACGAGGCGTTATTAGCGTGACGCAGTAAAAAGTCTTTTGCGTGATGGAGGACTGCGTCGTTTGTCCGCCACATGAATGCGTCAGCGACAACGCAGTGTCCAACAATGACAAAGACTTATAATAATAATAATAAAGTAATTTTTATATAGCGCATAATAATGAATTCTCTATGCGCTTTACAACAATCAAATATACAATAAATTACATGATTGATCTAAAGATTTAATTATACATGAATAACAGAAATACATATCGTACACAATGATGACAAAATAAGATATAATATAAATGATATAAACTTATGAACACAATTATAATAGTTAAATAATTACAATCTTTTATTGTAAGGAAATAACATTATTTGACATAAACTAGCATATATATAATTACAGACTATTGGGTGAACATAAATGTTTTCATAACTTATTCATAACTAAACTCTTTATGACCCATGTAAACATATCATGAAACATGTCTGAAAAATTGGAGTGTCGTATGAAAACATACACTGTTGCCCATTTAAATTGGAATAATTTTTCTTACCTCTTTTCATGTAATGATTGTGTCATATTTTGGGGATTTATTCTTGATGTAAAGGTTTATATCTTCTCAGAACTGTATTGACATATCAAAAGAGTCATACGCCTAGCTAGTGTGATGTTCTGAGAAGATACAAACTTTATCTATCAAGAATATTGTCACAGTAATCTAATGAAAAGAGGTGAGAACATTTATTCTAATTTTATGGGCAACAACGTATAATTGTTCAATAATCTGCACTGTACTTTTACTAAGAATATACACTATTGGTCATAAAGGTGGAATAATTTGTTTTATCCCGCTCTATGGAATGATTTTGACAACGTTTTATTCCTAATAGATACAAATACTAATATACATTCTCAGGTTTTATTGAATAATAGTTGGTGAGTGTTTGTTTTGCGTGACTGCTAAATCATGTGTATGCTACTATGATTATCAACTATAGGGGACCTACGTCCTTAAGTCATAACTGACAGTAATGAGGATTAATGCCTCACAAAAGGAACTAATATAGCTGATCGACACGGTTTTGATCCTGGGGCCTCGAAGTTACAAGGCCATTGCTTTGCCACTAAAGCATGACTGTACGCAGCCGGGGCTAACGGAGGGGGCAGCCCCCACAAATAACAAAAAACAAAGAAAATGCAATACATTTTCAATAATTCATTGCATTTTCCCCCGGTCCCCAACAGGCAAAATTCCTCTGTACAGTCATGCATTATGGTTCAAGGCATGGCCACATAGAGGACAGCCTACTTTTATTTATATCTATTAGGAATAAATCGTTTTCAAAATCATTCCATAAATTGAGGTTAAATTTAAAACAAATGATTCCACCTTTATGACCAACAGTGTATTAATGAAAGAATGTATTATATTCCTCTTTTAGTTGGATAAAAAATTTGGCGAGAACATTTTCTAACAGTTTTATATAATTATGTGTCACTATCACTTTACAACATTTCTGCAATATATGTCACACGTTGTAGATTTTTTACCGATGAAAATGCTGACAAGGAAGTTCTGTAGAGGTCCACTGGGGCATTAATTTCATAGCAAAGATGCTTAAAGCGCTCGAACAATTCTCATGTAAGCATTTCAGTCACACCACCTAACCACAATGGGGTATTGATAAAACGTACATCACCGTGAAATAATGGGTGTTTTGGGGGTTATTGAGTAAATGGTTTATGCCTACGGGCCGGTATTATTGATTTATGTTTGTTTTTTCCTCGATAACATGGTACGGCTTGGAACGGGGAATCTAACCTTGTTCAAATTGATTCATATTTCTAATGGCAAGGAGTTAAGGGAAATAGCCATTAATGCATTTGCAGTGAGATGGCAATAACAAATCCATTGGTGGGATTTCGTTCCGGATGTAAATCATGAATCATTATTAATATTGTGGTAACATAACATAACAGCTCGTTGTTCACACATTCTCCATATGACTCATGACAATACAAATATACATTTTCTAATACACAGTCCAACCCTGTATAATCTATATACAATTATAATGCTTTATAACAAAGAATACCTCCTTCTGAGTATGTAGATAGGGAGGTTTTTTCGCGAGCCTCACCTCCAAAGCCACCGCCCTATAGGAAATGAAGCCCCCAAGAAAATATTTTAAAAATCCCCCCCCCCAAAAAAAATAATAATAATAATAAAAATAATAATAATAATAATGATAATGATAATACAACAAAAAATACATTATATGATTTTTAAATTTTTTAAAAAATACAACAACAAAAATTAATAAATTAATTAATTAGTTAATAAATTCAAAAATTACCTGCAGTCTGAGGCATATTCTTTGAGCCATATACATAAATAGATAGTGAAGGAGGTTGGAAGACAGTGGAGACGGGTAAAAGTGTATACACATTTTGGAGGAGAGGGTGCTGAAGCTGACCTATTTTTTTCACATCATTTGTCCTTGTGAATTTATTGACGGCCAGTGAAAAGAATTATTTTCTGATATGCGAGCTAGCATAATGAATGATTGAATAAATACTTGTTGTTCTTGCGTCATGTTCTGTACTATTTGGTACTTGGTACTGATGACCTCTACATTGAAAGACAAACTAGATGCATGGTGCTTGAGGTCAAGTAAACATGTTGCCACTTGAAATATTGGCCATATATAGGACCTCGTGCTTATTGCAACGTGATCAAATCAGAGCGGAGATAGTATTAGGAGTGTTTGTCAAACCTAAAACAAACATAACTCCATGTATGAATAATGATTGTAAACTTCTGTCTAAAATATAATTCATAATTCATAAATATATTTGTATTTGTTTTAGGTGTAGCAAACATCGTATATTCTAATATATACTCCGTTAAATACATATATATATATATATATATATTACTACACGTTAAGGCTAATCTTGAGCTCTGGTATGGGCATCGTCCGTCGAGAGAACATGGCTATAGTTCATCCTGGATTATTTATCCTGCAGTAGATTGATTGTTTGAACCAGTAAAATAAGATAAAAACTCACAAAAACTTGCTGGAAATCATCTTCAATAAAAACACAATTCTCATTTGCACATAGTGACCTGAGTGGTAAAGCACATGATGTCGGGCCTATATTACCTTGATTTCCTTATCTTTCTATGCTCATTACTCAGCCCCTATACACTTTCTACCAAAATCGTTTTGTACAGGTCATTTATTTGTGATCTTGAACATTCATTGTAAGTTTTGTTGGATTCTGTTAGTATTTTTTTTCTATCATTACTAGATCTCAATCTTTGAAATAAACACAAAAATAATAGACCAGTCATTTTATTGGTGTAATATCGAAAATCAAATCAGGTTTTTCCATCTCGACCGTCATTGAATAATTGCCGTGCACGAAAATTGATTTTAAAAGGCTCTTCAGACATACACTACATCCGAAATATTTGAATGAGTGGTTCCAAATATTTTCAATACATCTGGAAACTTGGATTGGTATATACATCCATATTTTTTCATTCAAACTTTCGGATATTATAAATCCAAATATTTGTAATAGCCGGTAGTTTTAACGAGTACTTTCACTTTTTTCTTCAAATACCTGGAAGTTTGAATAGGTATAGTCATCCAAGTTATTCCAATATCCATATGATATGCAGATCTGCTTGTGTATCTATCTATCCACTTTAAGTCTATTTATTTATATCTGATTTCTTTTTAACCATCGTTGTGTTTTTATTTACATATTTACTTTTTATTCTTATATTCATCGATATGTTTTCTTGGTTTCTACACTACTCTCATGATTTCTTGGTAATCGTTTTTTGATTCTTTCCCTTTTCAGATGCTTTCATTTGGGCTGGAGAATCCGGGGTACCATCAGATGATGGTTTCATCATACCCGAGGAGGAAGGAAGGTAGGAATATTTTCATTTCAGTTAAACTCAATCAAATTTCTAGTCCCACTTAACCGACTACTCTAACCATACTTTGCATATACCGCTATTAAGTATTAGTATAATTTATGTCGTTGCATTTGTTGTCATTCTTAAATTACTCCTGACAATCATTTCATGTAGTAGGTAGTAGTGGTTTTAGTAGTACTTGAAGTAATAATTGTATCAGTAGTAGAAGTAGTAATGGTAAGAGGAGAAGGAAAATGAGGTTTAGTAGTAGGTGTAGTAGAAATGGTAGTAGTAGTAACAATAGTAGCAGGAGTAGGTATTATTACTAATAGTGGTACCAGGGGCCTGTTTCATAAAACTTTTTATCTATAACAACTGCTAAATTTCTGTGACAAATTTGCTCTCAGCCAATCAGATGCCATGATTTTAGTAGCTTATAGCAGTAGCTTGTAACTTGTTACTGATATCAAGTTTTATGAAACAGGGCCCAGATGTAGTAGTAGAGTAGTAACAATAGAGTTAGCAGTAGTTAAAGTCGTTGTATCAAGAGTAGTAGTAGTAGTAGTAGTAGTAGTAGTAGTAGTAGTAGTAGTAGTAGTAGTAGTAATAGTAGTGGTGGTGATTGGTAGTAGTAGTAGTGGTAGGGGAGGTAGAGAAGTAGTAGTAACAGGGTTTGTAGTCGCCGTCGTCGTTATCATCTTCGTCCTCGTAGTATTAGTAGTGGTGGTGGTAGCAGGGGCGGCGATTTCTTTTCATGACTGGGGGACAAAATGCAAGAGACGAGGGAGCATAGTGAACGAGAGGGGCGAAGGTGACGGGAGTGACTACCTCCTCACAGGTGATACCAACGGAATACAGATTTTCTACAATATTTACCTGTATATTTTGAAGGATATTATGCGAGGGAGCGAGAAGATTTTTGCATTTGTATTAGTCTAAAAGATGCGCTCTTGGGCCCTCCATAGCCTAAAATTAGTGTGTTGCAGTCTTTAGTCAGTATTTGCTATGTTTGGTTGCACTTTGTTGCACGTCCCCCCCCCCTAATAAAGTCGAGGTGGGACGTGATTCCCCACCCCCCCCCCCCCTTCGTTCCCCAGGGATCGCCGCTCCTGGGTGGTATAGTTTCAGTAGAAGTAGTAGTAGTAGTAGTCGTGGTTGAGTAGTAGTACTTTCTTCTTCTTTCGCCATAAACCAGCCTTTATATTTCTCTCCTGTGCAGAACGGTAAAGCTTGAAGCGTATGACAACGTAAATATCAGCGTGACCCTACCGGCAGGAAAAACTGTATCGTCTCTTGCATGGATCTCGGTTTGGTGTCGACAATTTGCGGTATGGAAAACGCTTTCTCCTCGCTTTTTATTCAATGCCAAATACAGGAGTTCTTGGCGGGGGTGGGTACTTGTCCGGAAAATCTTCTATTTTTGGGTGAATTTTTAGGCCAAATATCACTGGAAAGAAAAAGGTTCTTACATTTTCCATGTGTGTTTTCAGTGCCAAAATCTGCCAGGGTACACGAGCACACATTTTTGAGCCATTTTACCTGTTTGTTCTTCAAGTATGCAAGACTGTGCCTATTCCCGTTCTCGAGATTGTGCCTCTTCCTGTGCTCCCATTTACCCCTCCCCGTCACGGGTCCGCCCATGTAAATTCTTCCAACTTTGCCTTCCATGTTTGATTTTTTTTTTTTGAGTGAAATTTCACCCGAATGTTTCATGTGGGCCTTCACTTTTGTCGGAAGGTTTTGTTTTTTTTTATTTGGGGGGGGGGGGCAGTTTTTTTCCACTTGGGGCCGATGGTCATTCCAACCCAATTTTGATCATTTTTATATAGAGCGGCACTGACGATGCCTCACTCCCCACCCCACCCCATCCCGTCTCTCTCTCTCTCTCTCTCTCTCCCTCCCTCCCTCTCCCTCTCTCTCTCTCTCTCTCTCTCCCTCCCTCCCTCCCTTTCTCTCTCCCCCTCTCTCTCCCTCCCTCCCTCCCTCTCCCTCTCTCTCCCTCCCTCCCTCCCTCTCCCTCTCTCTCCCTCCCTCCCTCTTCCCCTCCCTCTCACTACCTCTCTCTCCCTCCCTCCCTCTATCTCCCTCTCTTCCTCCTCCCTCCCTCTCCCTCTCTCTCACTCCATCCCTCCCTCCCTTTCTCTCTCTCTCTCTCCCTCCCTCCCTCCCTCTCCCTCTCTTCCTCCCTCCCTCCCTCTCCCTCTCTCTCACTCCATCCCTCCCTCCCTTTCTCTCTCTCTCTCCCTCCCTCCCTCCCTCTCCCTCTCTCTCTCTCTCCCTCTCTCCCTCCCTCCCTCCCTCCCGCACACACCCTATAAAACTAATTTGACCATTTTACTCCACCACACTCCAGAGACTACATTCCTAATTTTTTTTTACATTTACGCTTACATTGACATTTAAACAGTTACATTTACATTTACATCTACAACAGGCATATTTATTGTTTCTCTTGGGCGGTCGCTGAGACAGGTTTGACTGTATATCACTTATTTTGTTTAATTGAGGAGAAAACACATGGGAAATTCTTTGAAGTTACTCCGACTAAAATATAATACACTTTAATATAGCAAGACTGAACGAAATGAATTGACATTTCTATATTTTGGTCTTTACTGCTTTTTTCAACCATACAGGCAAATTTTGGAGACCTGACTGTTCCCGCCAACTTCATAGCCCCTGCCCCTCTGGACCTGGGGGCCCTCGGCTTCACACCTCGTGTACACAACACCTATGCGTCTGCCGTGATCATCTTAAACGCAAAGCAGATCCGAGTTGAGAATCTGGTCTATGATGGTCAAGGACCAAGTAAGATAATACAGTCAAACCTGCTTTAGTGTCCACCTGTCTACAAAGACCACCTGTCTACAACGAGCATATTTTTTGTTTCCCTTGGGCGGTCGCTGTAGACAGAATTTTGTATAACATGTTCTTTGTAGAGGACCTGCGATCATGAGCATCGACAGACAGACAGAGGGGTGTTACAATTCCTTACGAATGTTTTGTTGGCAAATCTTGGCAAGAATGAGAGTCAGATGTGAAATTATTATATATACATGAGCCTGATATTCAAAGTTCAATGCTCCAACGGAAGAATCATGTTGATGATTAATGGCTGGTAGTTGTCAGGGGTTCCCTTTCATTTTTTTTCTGGAGTAACAACGAAGAATTTGGCACCAAAAAAATATTATCATAATTGTGCTATGTGATGCCCCTGTGATGCTTTGACCCGTGTCAGCTTTTTTTTAAAACGAATACAAACTAGCACACTACTTTAATGTTATTTATGTGAGAAGCCAAATTATTTTTACACCAATCAGTTATGATACGAAAAGGCAAATGGACCAAACAGGCATTAGACCAACTGACGAGTGGAAATTAAAAGCAAACGAGATCTCATGAAGAAAAGACGAAATGCAATGAGACGAGTGGGGATTGGACAAATCGATATTGAGCAAAAACAAAAAGGAGCAATTTACCAATCTAAAAGCCACGTCTTTTGTTCGTTGATTTTTTAACCTTATTTTTTTTCTTCATTTCTTTGATTTCCTTTCATCATTTTTCTTCTGCATTCAGGAGCATATTTCTGGGTTGGACCGGGAGGGACGCCTAACAATGATGGCGACTATGAGATTCCAGACGAAACGGGAAGGTAATTGATTTGATTGGAGTGGTATATAAACTCAACAAGGAAAAGGCAAAATGGGTTGGCCTCGATGACATAGTCTTTGTAATTACTTGACATTGAATAGCTACTTTCATATACGGGACTTAATAAATAACCTATTTAAACCGACGCGACCTACGTCAGACCGTTGAATTGCCTTTTGGTCTACAACCAGTTCGTCTACTACCCAATTAGTTTATTCCCATATGGTCTTCACCCAACACGTCTACTATCCACATGGTTTCATAATCATTTCGTCCACTTATCGTTTGGTCCCATGACCATTTATGCTAATATTTATTTGGTTTATCAGTCATTTGGTCTAATTGAAAGTCGGTCTAATTCCCAGGTCGCCCAATGCCCATTTCGTTTACTATTCATTCGGTCTAATAATCATTTATTCATAAATAATTATAATCATCAATTGATTAATAGACCTTATGGAAGACGAAATGTGCATTAGACAAACTTGGAATTAGACCGACTGGCAATTAGACTAATGGGCATTAGACAAACTGGGAATTAAACTTATTGGAGATTAGACCAAATGATTATTACCCTAAATGGTCAATAGTCCAGGTGATAAGTAGACGAAATGGTTACTGGACCATGTGGAAAGTAGACTGGCTATAGGTGTAGACCATATGGGAATAGACTAATTGGATAGTAGACGAACTAGTTGTAGACCAATAGTTTGAAGGAACATGTACTTGTCAGTGGGGTTGATGTGAGACCATGCTGAATGCATAATGCATAGCAAGAGGATGACAGAGCTAGGCTCTGTTCAAGGCTTAATAAATAATGGTTAAGTGTCAAATTAGAGTCTGTGTCTGCACATTAATATTAAACTGAGCAAAGATTATATTACCCCGTATGGCCACGCATCAGGAGATTTTGAGTCAGAGTGGAGTAAGTTGTGCTGCTCGACCATCGTATAAAGAAGCATTTTCTCGCTCGATCTTAGTCTGTCTATGCATGAAGAAAAAATCTTACTTTTCAGGAATATTAATAATAATAATAAATAATAATAATAATAATAATAATAAAGATAGATTTATTGAGCGCATAATAAACCGAAGTTTCTCTATGCGCTTTACAAAGTAAAAAACAATCAAGTACAGGTATATTCAAATAGTTACAAATTAATGATTTATCAATTGATTGCTAAAAAACAAATTATCGATTTTAATTGATTCTATAGCAAAGGTCCTAAATATGAGAACGATTATTTCCCTAGCTTTGTTAACCCACGTTTTGCTCTTCTTCTTTTTTTTTACGTGGAATACGTTTAATTTGGCTTTTTTAGTTGCCTCGTTATTTCTTACAAATTATTTTTTTTCTGTAAAAAAAGTGAAGGAATGATTTTTAAAAAATGTATTCATGGAATGAAAAAAGGATTCGTTTGGTTTTAATCCTCATTTTCCATAATACTCCTGTTTAAAATATATTTTTCATCATCACTTTAATCATAATTAAAACAAAGGAACATAAAATAATTATATGTGCATATCGAACAAAAAGTATTAAAGATTAATCACATGCAGGGAAACAAAAAAGTATAATATGCTATGACATCGAAAAATTATAAACATAATTTTATAAAGTAAAACTATAATCAAAAGCTTCAATAATTCATTTATATTTAGGAACGATAAGGTTTATGATCATGCGACCGGTAGCATGTTTTGAATGTAATGTTATTCATCTACCCTCCCGTTTCCGCTTTCGTTCACAGTACTGGTGTTATCAACCCGTACAACGGTGAAACGATCACCCTTACCTTTCCCGAGGGAACAGACATATTCGACATCGGACACTTCGGGCTGTGGTGCATCCGGTTCACGCAGGACTTCGGGCACGTCGACATCCCTTCGCAAGGCGAGCTCAACATCCCTCCAGCACCTCTCACCGCCGGCGGATCAACGAGATTGGTAATCATGAAAGAGATGATGATGATAATATTTGGCGTGGATAAATGTATCATGCTATCGATATTCATCTTCAAAGTTATTCAGATCCTCATTGCATATAAATATCTAACATAAGTTACAAGCCACAAAATAGAAAAACGTAGGTTTAAGTGGTGTTATGATCTCTCTATAATTAAAAATTGGTTAAATGAAGTCTATAAGGATAGTACGAGTAGAGCTATTTCTACTGGATGAAGGATTGAATTTTATATTACATTAAATGATATAATTCATAGGAAATCATTTTAACAATGTAAAAGATACAAACAGGCATTAAGACAGTGTTAATGATCGTGAAATTAAGCAATCAGAGTATTATACTCAATATGTAATTTAACTGTAGATATTTGAGTATGCACTTGATTAGCAAAGACCAAAGGCCAATCTTGCAGTGGGTCTATTCCCAGTGATACTGAATTTTCCCCCTGGTATCTTTATCTTTATCTTTGTACGATCAGTAGACCGACTGGCGATTTAGGCCAATAATGACTGGAAAAATACAAACAGGAAATAGACGAAATGGGATATCAGATTTAACAATTTTTTGTAGGGGGAAGTTATCGCTCTATTAACTGTTTATGTTGTCGTAACCTATAGACGTTTCCAAACTGCGAGACGCTGGTCGAAGACGAGCTTCAAGTGAGTTGGATGATCAACGGCACCGACATCGTCATCCGACTGAGCAGCACCAATGACACCGGCGACTACGCCGCGTTCGGTCTTAGTGGATCGCCAACGGGTACTTTGATGGTTGGCGGGGATGTTGTAGTGACTTTCATCGATAATATGAAAGCTCCTCAGGCCGTTGACTACTATCTTCAAGGCCAAGCTCAGGTACGAACAAAAAACTTTTTTTTTTTTTTTTTTTTTTTTGAATCAAGTTTATACTCACCGGACTAGATATAGACCAGGGGCGTAAATCCGTACCGAGGAGTGGGGGGATGATTGGCGATAGCCATCACATACTAGCACGAGCAAACGCCCACACTAATTTACGCAAGCGCGCGCGATCGCGCACGCACAAACACACAACACACACACACACACGCGCGCACACACACCACAAACACACACGTACCCAAACACATGTACATAAATTTATACATGCATACATACATGCACGCACATGCCAAATTTGACAACCATAAAGTAAATGAATTGGACATATATTTCGAAATACTTACAGCTGCAAACTGTAGTGTTTAATTATAATGAACTCCGAAATAAGACGACACACTTTCAAGTAGTAACATAAAGATTGAGTATTTCGTCAGGAAGATGTAAACTCTTTATTTTGACTCCCATCACTTAGAAAATGATGTATAATGGTAAGGGGCGTCGCTAGACCTTTTTTTAGTGGGGGGGGGGGGTGTAGAGGCCAACGATTACCGACAAAACTAGCCCCCAATTACTGACAAAATTAAATGTCCCAATAATGACAAATTTAACCCTATATACCCGGGGCCGAAGGCTAAATTGTTTTTCCTACAGACTATCTATAGTACTTGCATATGCGCAAATGGTCATTTTCCTCGACGACATAAATATACGAATTATTTCGTCAACTTAGTCAGCATCATAGCTATATATTTTAATGCAGGCGCGGAGCTAGGATCTCATTTTAGGGAGGGGCGGTAGTGAGCAGGTGAATCACTCAAAGAGTGCGCGAAGCGCGCTCATTAGGGGGTGTGGATGATAGGCCTACCGCGCGAAGCGCGGAAGCTGAGACATTTCCTTAAATTATTATAAAAAGAAGACGATTTGCTGTACCGTTCTCGACTGTAAATCCTTGTCCGAATTCAGTTTTTTTTCCCCACCGACCTCCCCCCCCCCCCCCCGCGCTAAAGTTTTGGCGTTTCATTAAATTATTAGAGAAAGTAGACAGTTCGTTGAACCGTGCTCGACTCTAAATCCTTGTATGAATTCAGTTTCTTCCTCTCTCTCCAGCGCGAAGCGCGGAAGCTTTGACATTTCATTAAATTATTAGAGAAAGTAGACGATTTGTTAAACCGTGCTCGACTCTTAATCTTTGTATGAATTCGGTTTACCCCTCCCGCGCAAAGCGTGGAAGTTTTGACGTTTCATTATATTATTATAGAAAGAAGACGATACGTTGTACCGTTTTCGACTCTTAATAAGCCCTATTTATCTGAATTCAGTTTCCCCCACTCGCGCGAAGTGCGGAAGCCTTGACGTTTCCTTAAATTTTTAGAGAAAGCAGACGATTGGGTATACTGTTCTCGACTCTTATTTCTCGTCTGAATTCAGTTTCCCCTTCCCGCACGAAGCTCGAAAAGCTTAGACGTTTAATTTAATTATTATAGAAAGAAGACGATTCGTTGCACCGTTTTCGACTCTTATTAAGCCCTATTTATCTGAATTCAGTTTCCCCCTCTCGCGTGAAGCGCGGAAGCTTTGACGTTTCCTTAAATTATTAGAGAAAGCAGACGATTCGATGTACCGTTTTCGACTCTTAATAAGCCCTATTTATCTGAATTCAGTTTCACCCCTCTCGCGCAAAGCGCGGAAGCCTTGACGTTTCCTTAGATTATTAGAGAAAGCAGACGATTGGGTGTACTGTTCTCGACTCTTAATTCTCGTCTGAATTCAGTTTCCCCTTCCCGCGCGAAGCGCGAAAAGCCTAGACGTTTTATTTAATTATTATAGAAAGAAGACGAGAAGGCGAACTTTAGACCGTTCCTGAAACGGTCGAACCTGCAACGGCGCTTTATATTGACCGTTCGACCACACACTGCGCAATCAAGATCAGTGCAGTCGTCACGGTAACCTATTGGCCCCCTACCTCCCCTAGATCGCGCGGGCGAGGAAAAATTGTTCTGCATTGCGCGAGAGAGCGGAGCATGCATGCGGTGCAATTTGCAGAAGACTGCGTGGCCGGCCGGCCGGGGTGCGGCCCAATGCATTTTGTGTATATAGTGGGATTCTTATTATTCTGAAGTTTATGAAGTGCTTGTTCGCGCACGTCGCGCAACTATTCTTAATGATAGTGACATACTGTATACGTGTAGGCTATACAGTTATACATACACAAAAACAATAACTCATTTCTCATGCATTATGCTGAAATTGAAACAATCACATTTTTTCCTTCTTCTTCTTCTTCTTCTTCCCCTTTTTCTCTCTTTTTGTTGTAATATCAGGGGGGATGTTGGTACAGGCCACCCCCCCCCCCTACTTCAAGCCAGGGGGATGCAGCCCCCCCCCCCCCATCCCCCCGGGATTTACGCCCCTGATATAGACCAATATGATTACGGGAAACATGCTTTCACAGTACTTTGAGCAGTTTGACCTGAGGTCGACATTGCCTGCCCGAAAGCAACAATGATTGTTTTTTTTGACAGTCTATCATAGTTATAGAAATGTACTGCAAATGTCGGATGCCCGATGATGAGGTGTCTGGTGTTCGAGTATTGGTAATTGTAATATTATAGAGGGGCCGCAGCCCGGCAGGGGTCATACTTTATATCAAGAATCAGCTTAATAATAAAAATTCATGTATTCGAAAGTTATTTCCCTCCGAAATATTCAGCTATTCGGCAACTGCCTTAGTCAGCTACGATGACCCAACCTGACCTTTATGACGTAATTTGCAACATTTCATCACGTGCCAATATGATTTGATATCAATAAAAACAACTTGAAATAATGTCCACAATATTGCAGTGTTCCCCTCAAAATGGCGGTGGTGCCTGTCCAGATACAATTTCATCAGCACAAGACGGTAACAACAACGCAGAATTGGTTGAGTCATATTATGAGGAGAACGGAGTCACAAACATTGTTTACCGCCGGCCTCTAGCTGCATCTGGTAAGCAAATACTTAGTTCTGGTAATGGTGAAAAAAACATTGAAACAGTTTCTATTCAAATTCACACCAATTATTAAGCAATACAAATAAATGACTCTTGCTAGAGGAATTTGAATGAAATTGTGTAATCGCAGAGAAAAAAGCAAAATAAACATCAATTTCTTCAACGGTCGGGGTTGGTACAAACCGAATTCAAAATTACGAATATGTCTGTTTAGCTCCCTCTTTCGGAAGCAACTCGATATAGTCCTCTCGACTGGCGATCACAGAACTGAGTGGCGATTCATTCACGCCGAAAAGCCAACTCACACACAGAAAACGCTCTACTGAAAACTTCCGCATCACGATCAGTTGTTGTGACTACTTACATTTCTTCAGCTACTGTAAATTGCACATGCAGTGAACTAGTATAGTATTAATGACTGCTTAAATTTGAGAGAAATAGTTGTTTTTATACGCTCAAGGGAAAGTAATGATGATGTGCTATTGTTGTTTTTGTTGTTGAAATAAATTTTTATTCAGATACAAAATCCTGGATAATATCATACATAAATATTAATTTTAATGAGATCAAATTATATATCTGCCAACCCGGTATATGAACGAACGAAAGAGAGGGAGGGGGCGGGAAAAGCGCGCGAACAGCCCCGGCACGAGCAGAGCTATGTTACTGCATGTGCACATGAGCGTGATCGGCAACTATATCTTGCAAGACAGTTTTCGAGGGCCTGCCAGCAAAGAGAAAGATAGGTAGATTATTACAAGACACAAAAAAGACATCAGTACATCTAAGCACATCGTTTTGTTGGAGTATTTTCTTTTGTTGAGCATTTGTTGACCACCGTACTGTCCGGTGAGATGTTGTAATTTTTGCATAGCCAGACATGGATATAGCTCTGCGACCAGTGTAGGGCAACTGTATAGCGCAGGTAACCGAGCGATCAGCAAGTCATTGTGCATGCGTGCAACTTGCTACTAACTGCAAAGACGGCAGCACAGCGAGAAAGGTCGCTAGCAGACGACACTCCTCACACTGGGCGAGATTCTGTGCGAGTTTCAGATACTGAAACCGCCGTGGGTTTCGTTCAACCGAGAGAGGGCGTTAGACCGTAATCACATTCAAACAAGTCATTCAACGGTTTTCTCGCGAAAAGGGTATCAGACGAGGGTTGTTTTTAAAACCAGAATTCTTCAAAATGCGTCAAGAGAATCGAAAACTATTGATCACATTTTATATTTTAGTATCAATCAAACATTTTATGACCATAAATTATCAGTTTTGTTGTCAATACGTTTTTACTGCCAGTACTAAAGTTTATCTTTAATTGATAACAAAGGAAGAACTGGCGGATGGGTGATGGAAGAAGGGGAGGGGTATGTACCTACTTCATGGGCCCCAAATCTGCTACTAGAATGTTTACATTTGTTGGTACTACCTCCCTCTCTCAATATGGTATGTATCAACGACTATCATCTCCGAAATCTTCTGAAAACTCGGCATACCTGTCCTTAGATAATGTTTGTTGGGGTCACCAATTACTCCATTATATTACACTCAGGCCTACTAAAATATAAGGCTGGTCTAAAAAACCTTTTCTCATATACTGTCTGATTGAACATATTTTATCATTAGTTTCTTCTGCATTAATGTAATTTTCGCTTTTGTTTTCTGCTTTTGTTCTCATTACAATGTTTTGCGCAGTTAAGTATACTTGTATGGTGTAATATATTTGTATAGTAATTGGGATTTATACTTTTACAATTTATTACATGCATTATTATCTTCCATCTTAGACGCAACATATGACAAGGCTTTCACTACCGATGGTCCAATCTATGTCATCTGGGCTCGAGGGCCTATTAATGGTGATGGGCGTGTTGCTTACCACAATGTACGACGATCACTAAGTAAGTCTGACATGAATGTGATTGACTTGATCTATTTTTAAAATATATAATGGAACGAAAAGAAAGGCTCAATATGACGGATCGTGAAACCTGCGACGATATGGACATGATTGAATAACGATTAATTGATATATTTAAAAAGCATTTCATTATACAACAGAACTAGAATGATTGAGCAATTATCACCGAAACATTGACCAGAATAGATTATATTGAATACCTGTGTTTAAATTGTATTTGTTTGTGGGTCATTCATTTGCAACAGAAAGTAGGAGATGGACTAAAAAGTTGGAGGCGTGACAGCCCGGATATATTTATGTAAATCATGCTGATTAAAATAATAGGCACAACGGATCTTGAAGAAAATTATAATGGTCTAAATGTAACACATACTTGAGTATTACTGTAATTGGAGTAGTGTCTGTGTCTATATAGTATAAATGCCAAGTTTATCTCCCCAGACTTTTTATTCATTCGTCTTCAAACTAAAGAATTCAATCTTTCTTTCTTTTGTTTTTTAATTTGAAGACATAAACAAATTATTTTAGTATCCAATTTTATTAGGCAACATAATGCCATTTACGTTAAGCATATACTTTGGTATTTATGAAGGATCTTTTTTTCGTTTAGAGTCTTCAAATCTCCAGATCGATTTCGGACGTCCTAACTCCACGTGCCCACCTCTCGGCCAGAATGCTACTGTGCCACCCGCAACAGATGGCTGGGTGATCCCAGGAATTGAAGAACTTGAAACAGCTACCTTCACCGTGGAGATGGGATTGTCTGGTGGAAGCAAAGGATATGAATATATCACTGGTAAGAATTGTTCCAGGCACATCCGCGAGTTTGGGGTTGTGGCAAGTGGCAACTCCTCCTCTCCTCCCCCTTTGATGTCTTTTGTGGGAACATTTTGCTATTGTATAGCCCTGTCGCCACGCCCAAAAACAATAGAAGTCCAAACCCTCCCCACCCCACCCCCACCCCCCCCCCCATTGTTTTTCGTGTTACTCCAAAAATAGACTTCCGTCGGAAAATGAAAACATTTTAGGCCCATTTCATCAACTGTTCACCCTTGTCCCCCCCCCCCCTTTTTTTTTAAATTATTATTATCATGTGTTTGTTGTTATTTTTTGGTGGTGGGGAGGGGAAGCTTAATGGTAAACTATAGCTTTTCTGGCTGCATGCTTTTGTTCGACACCCCTCCTACCAATGAAAATGGAATGGCAATTTCTTTGGCAGAGATGTCCGAATCATCCATATTTCCTAGCATATTTATATCGAAAGTATTCGGACATTTCGTATATGGAAACAGTCAGATTCATTTCGGAATTAATCGTCAATCATTTGGAAATAGTATTTTGTATAATACGTTATCGTGTTTTTCACGGCAGGCCGTGTTGGTTGGGGAATCGCTTGGTTTATCAACGGTCAGCTAATTCCTGAGTTAACCCTGAGACGCAACGTGACCTACACATTCCTTGTCAGTGGTGGAGATGACCCGGTCGCCAGTGGTAACTATCATCCCTTCTATATTACTGATGACGTCAACGGTGGCTATGCGCAGCTCACCGAAGCAGAACGACAGGTGAGTTTGTCATGCTGGTATCTTCTGGCGCAGTTCGAATGGCAAAAGGGCGCTCTTTCGATTCGATGATTTCATAGCTGTAATACAATCGCAAAGACTTTCGAAAATCAGCATTTTTTCATCACCTTTTTGAAATGTGTGAATATTACTATGGCGCATTACGTAATGCACACATCATTTGTTTGCGATCTAATCTTTGGCATACGTCACTGTCTTGTCTTGGAGACCTTTTCTCTCTTTCAATGAAGGACTTTATATTTATGTAATCATGGACCCTACCATAATTATATTCGAACACGAAAAAGAGCAATATGACATAGTGACAAAAGCAAATATGATTACATCAGTCGTACATGTGTCAAATTATCTCCCGATAAAACGGACTTATTGTTTTTCATACAAAAAACCAGCCCAACTTCACAAAAACGTCTCAGCATATTCTTGAAAGACCTTAAAGATAACCGTTTTGGAGACTTTTAACATATGTAACAAAATGTCTTAATCACAAGAAGCAGAGATTAAACAAAAATGAAATTAAAATAGTTCATTTTTAAGTTGAATGATATATTCTCTGATTAGTTACGTTACCTGCATTATTGTTATGTTTAAGGCTTTTATTATGGTAACAATATGGTTTTGTAAACATGAAAATAACATCTGTATCCCACGAACCCTACAATAGTTATAGACACTACAGGGAAAGCATTACTATTATTATAGAATACCAATATAGAGTGTATAAACTCGAATGTCTAAAGCAGCCCTTTTCAACCTTTGTTGGTCAAGTCCCCTTTTAGGAATGAAGGACCTTTTCCGTGTGATTTTAGAAATTCATGCAATAATCACAGTCACCATTATTCTGTTTGCTAATTTGTTTCTTCTTCTTCTCTTCTTCTCTTTTTCAGGGTATTACGATCTACGCAGGCCCTAATGGTAAGTCGAACCGTTTCTCCTTTTTTTTTTTTTTCGTATATACCTTTTCCATCCTTAAATGTACCTTTTCTGTGTGTGTTTCGACGGGTCTAATTGGCAGTTAGTAAACATGTAAATGTTTTATTTAACCCCCATGAAACCTTTCCGGCAAAAAATAACCCTGAAGAAACTACTTTGATATACAAATAAACTCAACCCAGAATTATGTATTTCTGTCTTTTTACACACGTAAAGCGCTTAGAGACATCATAGATGTATAAATTAAGCGCTATATAAGAGCGGAATTATTATGTGATGATGTGATTCTTATGCTTTTTATGGGGAACAAAGAATGTGGTATTTATAGACAGGTAGTCCTTCAACACAGTTTGTCACTATAAAGTCATTTTTTACTATATGATTTCAACATGTACTGTTAATTTGTGTATAATAACGGATCAGAGACATGCTCTATTTACAGTATCCCTGCAATGATGATAATAATAATGTATATAGAAATAATTCAAAATAAATCTAAAAATGGGATCTTGATGAAAAACTCCTGTAATATATTTAAGGAGCATCCGCTTTGCCATTATAATTATGAACAACACATAATTATTCAAAACTGGATTGTATGTTCCTGTTACTGAATTATATATGGACACAATTTGAATAGGGCAATTGTATGATGATTGAATTTGCAAATGAAATGGGTTCGTTCACATAACTCTCAATCCAAGAGTTGAGGGTTCGAATGCCTGTCCGATCCTTTAGAAAGATTAGCCTTCAGTTTTATGACCATTTATGTAATACTCTGCATTTACCACCAATCGCCACATATGGATAAGTCATTATCTTACATTTCCCTCAACCGAAGACTATCCAAAAGACATGTCAGGGGGGGGGGTAATTAATTGGACTGGTTTGCTGTTTGCGAGACTCGAACACCCATGCACTAATGATATTTCCACCTAGTCTGGTGTTAGCAATATATAACCTAGACTGCACATGGAAACTGCCGACCATCTCCCTTTAATACTAAATTCGTTTGGTCACGGTAAATTCATGTTATTAATTTGACAGAGGGTCCACTTTGCCAGTACATGAGCAGCGCAGACCCTAATTCGTACAGCACGTTTGAAGACTATAAGACGACCCTGACCAAGGATTGCGCACCCGGTGATCCGGGCGTACTCGAGTGGACCGTCCCGCTTGATGCACCTGATCTGCTTTACTACCAGGTGAGAGAAGTTGTGTCATTCTGGCGATCTGTCTGTTTGTCTGTTTGGCTGTCTCTTTGTCTATCTGTCTTTATATGTATGTATGAATGTATATATTTATCTTCCTACATATATATCTATAATAGATATAAATAATTTATATTCCACATACAAAGAATCTTGCGCTACGATTGGTCAAAAGTAAATCACGTGATGAAAGATAGTTCGCCCATCATTGATGGAAGAAGAACAATTGCACTGTGTAAATAGTAGTACTATGTACATCTATGAAATGGTTCCGATGTGGAATATAAAGCAAATAATCACCTTTTCGTTTCAGGCGATGGCAAACTATCACTTCCGAGGCGATCTGGATGTAGCTATCTTTCCGAAGCGAAGCTGAAGAAAGATAGCTACATCCAGATCGCCGAAGAAGTGACTATCTACCTATCTACCTATCAATCGACCTATCTATCTTTCTATATATTTATATATCTATATACCTTTCTATTCATTCATCTATTACATCTAAATCAAGGATACCAATTGTTATGCTTCATGTTGTACAGAAGTTATGGAGTTGCTCATCTGGCATATGGCTCCGAATAGTCAGAGTCAGAGTCAGAGTCCAGCAAAAAAAAAAATTCTGTGTGCCCATGCCTTGAGCCATAATGCATGGCCGTCCAGAGGATTTTTTATGTTGGGGACCAAGGTAAAATGCAATAAATTATTGAAAATATATTGCATTTTCTTTTTTTTTATATATATTTATGGAAACTGCCCCCTACTACCCTAGCCCCCGCTGCGTACAGTCATGGTTCAGTGACAAAGCAATGGCCTCGTAACTGTGAGGCCCCAGGATCAAAACTGTGTCGTTGTGCTATATTAGTGCCCTTTTGTGGGGCATTAATCCCCATTACTGTCATTTATGACTTAAGGGCGTAGGTCCCCTAGTTGATAAGCATAGTAGCATACCCATGCTTCAGCAGTCACGCAAAAAACACATGGGCAAATTATTATTCAATAAAATCTGAGAATGCATACTATTATCTAGATCTATTATTTTTAAATTATTTTTAAAATAATTCCTTCATTCGGGGTAAAAAAAAAATATTCCACCTTTATGAGCGACAGTGTATATGATTTATGGGTTAAAATGTGATTGTTATGAACTTATTTGCATAAATTACCATAAATATGCAAATGAGTAATATTTTTCAAAAAAATGAAATTATCTTAATATTCTATACACTTCACTTGACATGCGTGCAAATTTTCGCTTTTTCACGGCCGAGATCGTAAGGGGGGCCATAATGCCCCCCCCCCCCTCCCCGGCCGTACTAAGACCTCAAATAGCCCGGCCTTTTTAGGGTTAAGTCAAGTATTTCATTGAATTATGTAGTTTGGTAGGTTTATTTTACTAACTGTTTAGTTATCAGATATCAATGATAGTTTAAAGATATGGAAAAGGTTCTTGTATTTTATATTTAGCAAAGCAATCTCACATACAAAATCACTATCAAGTGACGTCTGATCCGCCGATTGCCTTCTGCTATTACGTTCAAGTCACATTTATCTGTGGACTGTGATGTAGACAGTTACTCGTCATTGTAGATTTATGATTAGCCATCTGTCATTATTAGTCTTTAATTTTTGACACACATACAATTACCACATACACACGAACACTCTCACTTCCCCTCCCCAACACACCATTTCCGCACACCCGGTTCAGTCATTGGCATATTAAAGGAGCATCGTCCCCGCAGTGTAGTTGCGCTGCTCTGGTCATCGCCATCTTGGTTCCGAAGATCGACTTCTAATTTGCATACAGCTGTCAATAAAAGTACGCGCGGCTTGGCCTGCCTTCGCCAAGCCAGCTGATCGCTGACGATCGCGACGTCACGAAAGTGGGCGGAAACAGCAGCCGAATCTTAGAGCCGAACTGCGATTGGCATTACTTCGGCACATGTATGCGATAATCGGTATTGTCCGGGCATTCGGAACATGCCATCTGCGTAAGAGCCGTATTATGTTGGTGTCAATAGGCAGCTAGCACCGTCCGCCAGCGGGTACGTATTTTGAACGCCCTCTGGAATACGGGGAACATGCCTCTTTAACCCTGTAACATTGTGCAACATTCTAGTTTGGTAGTGCCGTCGAACTAGCTACGTTTGTGCTACGTTGGTTCAGCGAGCGAAAATAAGACAACCAGAGCAATCATGTTTTATCTGAACAAATGTTGTAGTAATCTGTCAGCCAATAATGTCTGTCTATATGGTCATTGACAATTATTTACCTTTTCTTGTTTTTTCTTTTCTTTCCACAGTGCTACACTCATCGTTTCCTCGGATGGAAAATTCACGTGACAGACAACGCCACCACCGTGACAGACAGCGCCACCACCGTGACAGACAGCGCCACCACCGTGACAGACAGCGCCACCACCGTGACAGACAGCGCCACCACCGTGACAGACAGCGCCACCAACGTGACAGACAGCGCAACCACCGTCTCACTGTCTGTATTTAACATAGTTCTCCTCTATCTCCTCTACTTAATCTTGTAAAAATCGTTATTTGCAACTCAAATCATTGGCATATCATTTTGTCTTTCATTTCCATAAACCTCTGAAAGACAGTTTTCCAAGACTCTTTGTATAAACATTTTCTGTGAAGTATGACTATTACGTGGTGGAGGAGTATCATGCATAGCGCACAAAGTATTTGCTAGATTTGTGATATGCCGTCATAATCCTGATTGTTTTTTAGTCATGATTGAAGAGTGTAAACGTTGCGAAGAAATTATTTACATGAATAGTACTTGCTATACATTCGGTCGCGAAGTTTCTGCTAGATCTTTTATATGCCGTCATAATCCTGATTGTTTTTTAGACATGATTGAAGAGTGTAAACGTTGCGAAGAAATTATTTACATGAATAATACTTCTTAAACATTCGGTCGCGAAATTTTTGCTAGATTTGTAATATGCCGTCATAATCCTGATTGTTTTTTAGACATGATTGAAGAGTGTAAACGTTGCGAAGAAATTATTTACATGAACAATACTTGTTATACATTCGGTCGCGAAGTTTTTGCTAGATTTGTAATATGCCGTCATAATCCTGATTGTTTTTTAGTCATGATTGAAGAGTGTAAACGTTGCGAAGAAATTATTTAGATGAACAGTTCTTCTTATACAATCAGTCGCACAAAATCTTAGAAGTAGAGTATAAAGTGAAAGTTAAAGACGAAATAGTTTCAAAAGGATTTCCAGCACATTTATTTAGAGCCCCACAGTACTACCTGTAGCTACCTGCTCCCTCTATAAAGTTAACAATGCCTAGGCGGTGCCCGTTGGTCCCCCATGATCCTCTTTTTTATGTTAAATTTATTGAGAGCTGAGTTGATGATAATTATAGCCACCTGTCAGTGACCACGCTGGGTGGTCTCATCCCTCCTGGCCAAAATAGTACAGATGGGCTTTAACCTCTGACGTTTTCATCATAAATTCTTATCGTAACCTTTGACCTATGAGCCACTACCAAGAATGAACATATTTATTGAAACTATTCTGCGATGTCATATCTCAGAGCTCAAAGTTTGTTTTTTAATTAACGGGTGGGTTGTAGGAGCCCCTAATTGCTATAATCAACTCTTCGACTCCTGTCGAGCATTTTTCAATCTGAAGTGTTTTTGTATGTTCACCCAATTTGTTAATTTTGATGTATAATGATATATTATCCGTCACATATATCAAGAAAAGAATGTTTCTCCAGGTTTTACTGACTAAAATATGAAAAGAAATTATGATTCATGATAGTGCATAGTACTGCATGTCTTGCCACGCGTATTATGGTAATGAGACATCTAATATTTATTGTTGTGGTAACGACCCACTTTCCTTTCAAGTTCATCATTTGCAGAGTATAAAATGCATCTTTGTAATTCGTCAAAAGCTTATGATATTTCTTACGGATGTTTATTGTTCAGTGCCTCTCTATACAGAAGATACGTGAAAATATTAAAACACATTTACGAAATCTAGAATGAAGATAATTATTATCAACAGTTCTATATAACTTTCATACCGAATTTCTATTTTGTATGAATCTGCTCAAAGAACTTAATATATATTTCTGGAATATAATTTTATATTGTTTCAATAAATTGTTAAACTGAATTGTTAAAGGTAAAGACCAGTATTGGAAACGCCCCATTTTAAAAAAAAATGAAATTGAAGCTCTTATTACCAATCATGTGAAAGAATATGATAAAAATTTCGCCGGGCAACCGCCTACTAATTGATATATTTGGTAAATAAGTTTATCTACATGGTCTGTGAGAGATAAACGCACGTGTCGCGCACGTGTGCGTATAGTCCCATATACATCTTTCTGTGTACAGTGCTCGTAACTTTACGAATACTGGGCCAAATTTCTTATCATTTTGATGATTCCAGAACCTTGCAGTACACACCAATACTTATATGCTAGACAATCAACCTTTTCTGATCGATTCCACAACGTTTCTCTCACAATGCAATCGCATGACCATATAACTCGTCTTTACCTTTAAACTAAATTTTGTGTAGTTTGTAAGAGTTCAGAATTCTTTTATGAAGTCTTGTACTTCATCTTTTCCTATGCATTCGTATTGTTTGAATATGTCGACAGAAAGCAATAAAAGATGTTAAATGGTTTAGAAAAAAATGAGTGTGTGGGGTATTGTGAATTACATTGTAAAGGCGTGTTCACTGGTCACACAACATAACTCTTATTTTTATTTTAACTACGAGGAAGCAAGGTTGCACTGGCAATAGAATACAAGAAAGAAAGTATTCCCTTTTCGTTATGTTTATTGGGTACTGATGTTGCAGACCAACCGTCTTGCAAAGTGTCGTCATGCAAGCAAATGAATGTCGTGATTCGGAATTATGAGAATCACATGAATGAGAATATTGCACGGAGATTACATAATGATCAAGGATGAGAATGAACATGAATAAATGCGATGGACATGATGAATAAAAGCTTACGACAGAATGGAAATGACGTCGAAAGTCCAAGGAAAATGAAGAGATGTGAAAAACGAAGAAAGGGGCTCACGCGATGAATGATGCGGAGGCTTGAAGGCGGAGATGTAGCTTCGTTATCGTGGCTGAAGAGCCGTGAAGAATCTCGACGCTGACGCTCGTAATGAAGATGGTGAAGAAGCTCTCAGGCGAGAAGAGAAGAGAAGAGATGTGGCGCTCGACGACGGAACAGTGGGTCGTTCGAGGTCGGAGGCGAAGAGTATAAATGTAGACATCAAAGTCGGTGGTTAGAACGGAGCAGTGAGGTCGCTCGATGAATCGTTGAGCCAGACTTTGAAGTGAAATCATAAGAGTTGCAGTAGGTCGAACTAGTTGATGACATAGCAGACAAACTACGGTGAGTCGAGCTCGTGAGTGGAAAGAGCTACCGGTACGAAGAAACTGGCAGCTCCCAGCGGAGAGTCAGGCGCCATGTCGGTTCTGACTATAACGTTCAAACTGGGAGACTGCAGCCCGACGGAGACGGCAGAGAAAAGGTAGATCTGCCGTAGAAGAGACGAAAAGCGCAGAAGATAAAGCCTTAATTGAGAGGAAATCATGGAGACGTCTTGACTCGACCAAGGTGAAAGCGGAAGTGGAGAAAAACCTCGTGGCGTTGAAAATACGCGGGTAAAGGAGTGCGCGGAAACACGTTGCGTGAATGGAAGGAAAAACATACGTGGTCCGAATAATGAATATAAATAAGTAGCGTGATGGAAAATAACTGTGAACATGAATGTACGATAAAAGTAGGGCGAATGTAAGAGCCGCTACAATGGTATTGTTCTTGTGTGTGGGCCACTTTTTTCAGACAGTAGAATATAGTAACATAACTATAATAATGATATTGATAAGATATTTGAGGAAGTGAGAAGAGGCGGAAAAAGAAGGGCGAAATACCGGAAGCAGATCTAGGATTATCCGAAAGAGGGCTTTTTTCCCCTCCCATTCAATTAAAACTAACGAAACAACAACAACAACAACAACAACAACAACAACAACGTTTCCAGACTTTATACAACTACTATTATTATTATGATACTGGCTTTCATTCTCTTTTTTCTTCTTAGGAGGGGAGGGGGCGTAGAACATCGCCCCTAACCCGCTTTGTCTATTTGAATCTATTAATAATACATATCAATATAATGTTATATACTGACAAGACTCATTTACTAACATACTATATCAGGCGCGGATCCAGGATTTCTTAGGGGGGGCCTTTTTTTTTTGGTCCCAAAAAATTTCGCAACGACTCGGCCAGCCGCTGAATAAGCGGGGGGGGGGGGGGGGGGGGGGGGGGGGGGGGAAAAGAGGACACTTTTTTTTTGTTTTTGGGTCTCGAAATTTGAAAATTCGACATTTTGTTCCGTTGGGGGGGGGGGGGTGAGGTCACCCATTGGCATAATTTTTTTTATTTTTTTTTTATTTAAAAAAAAAATCACAAAGGGGGGGGGGGTTTGCTCCAAGATACACACATAAAAAAACCCGAAGGGAGGGGGGTTTACCCCCCCCCCCCTGTGTATGCGTCTGCTCGTCTGAATACAGTTTCCCCCCCCCCCCCCCCGCGCGAAGCGCGGAAGCTTTTACGTCTCATTAAATCATTAAAGAAAGAAGACGATTCGTTGTACCGTTCTCGACTCTTAATCCTCGTCTGAATTCAGTTCCCCCCCCCCTCCCATCCGCGTGCGCGAAGCGCGGAAACTTTTACGTTTCATTAAATCATTAGAGAAAGAAGACGATTCGTTGTACCGTTTTTAACTCTCAATCCTCGTCTAAATTCACCCCCCCCCTCCCGCGCAAAGCTCGGAAGCTTTGACATTTAATTTAATTATTAGAGAAACAAGACGATTCGTTGTACCGTTTTCGACTCTTAATCCTTGTCTGAATTTCAAAAATGTTTTTTGTCTGCTCCTTTTCCTTTTCTCTCCTCTTTTTTTTTGGCCGGCGGTTTTTTTTGGGGGGGCCGCCCCCACTGCCCCCCTGGTCAGATGAACATCTTTTGATACCTTGTCCGCCCCCGGAAACTCATGGGTTGAAGGCAAATTACGGTCAGATAAGCATTCCGGGGCCCGCCTCAGGGCCCCTGGTGGGGTCGAGGGTGCGGAAACTCCTGAATTTGAATACGGTCAGATGAACATATTTTTATACCTTATTTATGACACTGGCAGGACACTGATTGGCGTGAGGTCCAGTGGGCGGAGCCCCCAGAAGCTCAGGGTTTTAGGCATTACATTACCGTTAGATTAGCATCCAGTGAGGTCCAGGGGGCAGAGCCCCCGGAAGCTCAGGGGTTTAGACATTCGATTTCGGTCAGATGAACATATTTTTATAATTTATTTGTGACACTGGCAGGACACATTACATTACACCAAATTACACCAATATCTTTGACGAGAGAACGGTTTTTGAAGCCTGTGCCCATTGGTTATAATACATGCGCGAGCATGCGTTCGAGACTCGCCAAAAGACACCACTTTTCCATATGATGATAATGATGCACGACTGACATCCTGAGCCGAAGACACATTCTCCAGAATGTTGGAATCCAGGCGGAAGTTGCGGAAGGAGACACACATATCGAAGCCGTGTTCGTCTTCGAGACGAGGAAGCATCTCATCTTCGACGAATGACTTGTCGTCATCGTGATGACTGACGTAGGCATCATAAACATATTCATGGTTGTTGTCTCCCACAGCTCCGTAATTTTGGCGCTGAAAGGAAACCCCTATGCGGTGATGATAGTAGTTTATCAACCTGAACCTCCAAACGACGAATGATACGATGATGACGACGAACGCGACGAGGATAACAGTGACAGCAATTATGACCACATGCCACGGTGTTTCACCAGGAGGAAAAATGGGTGGGCTGGGATCAGGCCTGAGTAGACAAGACTCACTGAAGAAGTCCTTGAGGGGCTTGCCATAGTTTTTATATTGATATGGCCCCTTTCCTGGAGGAGGACTTAATATGATAAACGGGATGAAGTCAGGACTTCGTGTACTTGTACTCGGCCCCGGCAGACTAACACAGGCGCGGATCCAGGATTTCTTAGGGGTGGGGGCCCAATTTTTTTCCTTTTGCTCTCGACAAATTGAAAATCGCGCCGGCCTAAAATGCGCCAAGTTGGGGGGGGGGGGGGGGTGGGGGGGGGGGGGGTAATGAGCACTAATTTTTTTTTTTTTTTGCTCCCGAAAATTTGAAAATTGGTGGAGGGGGGGGGGGGGGGTTAGTGAGCACTAATCTTTTTTTGCTCCCGAAAATTTGAAAATCGCGCCGGCACAAAATGCGCTCAGTGGGGGGGGGGAGGGGGGGGGGGGGGGGGGGGGGGGAGGGGGGGGGGGGAGGGGGAGTAGTGAGCACATTTTTCTTTGTGGTCCTCGAAAATTTAAAAATTGGCACCCCCCCCCCCTTGAGCGCCAGGGGGGGCCAACTCCCAAAAAAAGGTAAAATTAACGATCAGAAATATCCTCTAGGAAACCTTTTTTTTTCTCGCTGATTTCGGCCGAGTCCCTCATATGACGGGGGGGGGGGGGGGTAGTGAGCACATTTTTCTTTGTGGTCCTCGAAAATTTAAAAATTGGCACCCCCCCCCCCCCCCCCTTGAGCGCCAGGGGGGGCCAACTCCCCAAAAAAGGTAAAATTAACGGGTTTTTACACATTTTTTTTCTCAGATCCGCCACTGATCAGAAATATCCTCTAGGAAACCTTTTTTTTTTCTCGCTGATTTCGGCCGAGTCCCTCATATGACGGGGGGGGGGGGGGGGGGGGTAGTGAGCACATTTTTCTTTGTGG